CATGACGCAGGCTGGAGCTGTCAGAACTAAGAGGCTGGGTATGAGGCCTGTGTGGTGGGAGAGCTGAGCCTGCATGTGCACTGTGGTTTCCAGGTTGATTGGGTATGGGTTTCTGCCTTGGGGCTGCTGTTCCCTTCAGCGGATGCACAGGATCCTGAGAGTGTACCCATCCTTCCTTCAGAAAATCTAGAGCACTGGTGACCAGAAGCCTCACCTGGGCTTGTCAGACCCCCAGCTGGGCATACTCACTCCTTTTTAGACACACTCAGAACATTTCTTTCTATGCTTGATGCAGGAGAGACTGGAGTGTAACATACAAAATAAAGAAATAATTAACTTCTTTAGGAAGATACCAAGGAGTGTTTATAGTCATCAGCCCCAGTTTTATGGTCAGTCTGAGAACTGCATCTCCTTTAGCTGAGCAGTCTTGGTGCAAGAGTGCGTGCCCGGCCTCACCTTCCCCTTCCCCATCCTGTCATGGATTTTTTGTGAGCTGCTCTGTGATGTTGACTGCTCCTCAGAGCGGCTTGCCTGTCAGGCAGTAGCTGCCTCTAATGGCCACTGTGCTGACTCTGTCCCACAGCTGCAGGAAGCACCCCCAGCCGAGAAGAGTCAGGAGAAAAGGGCAGCTCCAGAGGAGCAGACCACGCCAAGGCGCCTGAGCCTACGCCCCCAGCTGACAGCCACGAGCCCAGGCTGGGGCCGAGGCCTCGCTCTCACAACAAGGTCCTGAACCCACCGGGAGGCAAATCCAGCATCTCCTTCTACTAAGAGGCTACTTACTGCTCTGCCTGTAGCCAGACCAGAAATTCAAGATACAGAGTATTAAAAGTTTATTGTTTTCTTTAGCCCAAACAAAAGGGGGTGGGAGAGGGTTGCCCTGTGTGTGAAGCTGGCTGCCTAGAGGACCGGGGCCTTTCAGACTGCAAGCTACATGTCTGGGGATGGGGATAGAGGGCTCCCCTGGTGTCTGCTCATTTGTTCTGATGGAGCAGGATTCTGAGGTGGGCAAAGGCAGGGAGCTGGTGCTGTTTGGCTGGTGGGCTCTTCCGTGAGCTGTCTCCTGCTGACTAGGCATCCAGGAACAGCTGAAGAAAGCCCAGTCTGTCTTGCTGTAGGATGGAGAGGAAGCAAAAGCAGAGACATCAGGAAGGCAGTGGGAGTCCACATAAAGCATCCCCTTTGGCCCCAGGACCAGTTACCCATCACAAGGATAGCTTCCACTCCCAAGAGACCACCAAGCCCATCATCTCCTCTTTTTACCCCCAGTGTGTCGTCCTTCTCTCTTGAAGCACCGTGACTGCTTTTCCTCAGCAGCAGTCAACAGAACCAAACAGTTGACCTCAGTCTGCTGCTCTGAAAGTTTTTCTACCCTGGTCCTCTGAGTTGCCCAGTTCCTGCATCTCAAACCATGACCACATCTCACATAGGAATCTGCCTTCCTCTCTCAGGGACTGGCCTTGGTCCTTGATGTGCTGGATTTACTTGTAGATTTTTCCATATATTTCCTCTCATCAGCCTTAAGTCTGGGCCTTGGTTCTTCACTGATAGTGTGAAGCTCACTTCCAAAGCTGCACTCTGCCCTCTGCAGGTCTTTAAACCTCTTCACATACACCTGAGTACAGGGTTTTTTCAGATCCTTCCTGTGTCTTTGTTCCTGTAGTTGGTGGGAATGCATGAGAACCTTGGGTTCTTAGGTTGGTTTCTTCAGTAATATCTAAAAGGCTGTCTTCAAGTACCAGCTTCACATAAATGCCTGTGGATTTGGTTTCTGACATCTTCCAGAAAGCAGTCCACTGCTTCAGCCACCTTTTTGAAACTGCAGAACCTCTGGACCCTACTATAAACAATAGGCCAGAGCGTTAAGTAGTTTGTCAGCAGAGTCTCAGCTGTCACGCCAGCAGATGCTTTGCTGGCATGAGTCATGTTGCTTCATCTGTCAGGCAGAGGTCCCTCCCTGTCCACTGCAGCCTCAGTTCCCTGCTTCCCTGTGGTGGGCATATTAACAGGAGAGGGCCTCAGTGGCATGGCTATTGCTTTAAGTGCCTACAGGGCTCGAACCAGGTGCTAGGAACATCCTCGGTGTCCTTTAGCTTTGGACAAACGGCAGGTCTTGTGTGGTCTAACACTACCTGCAGGAGCTAATCAATCCCCAGGCTCTGGCTCCTGGCACATGGAGGGGTCTGCATATGACTTGTCAGCCAAAGAATCTTAACCCCTTCAGTTGCCCTATACACCATGGAGCCAAAAACATTCCATGTGAGTCCTGAGAACTTGGACAGGTTTCTGTTCAAAGTCATTTATAACATTGTTTGGAATTTGGGGGCAGGGCAAGTTCCCACTAAAATAATATAAATGTTGCTTAGCTTTTTAAGCCAAAACCCACTAACTTGTTTGACTTACAAGGAACTAGTGTTAATGATAGATATGAACCACTATTTGTAATGATGTTTTCTTAGAGAAAATAAATTGTGAATTCTAAATTAAATTGCCAAAAAAAAAATCTGACATTACTGTGCTGGTTCCTGCTGTTGTGCCAATGAGAAGGAAACTCTGTTCTGAGTCCGTGTCCTGGGCAGTGTGTTCACTGCGGGAGCAGAGAAGGCACTTCCCACGTGAGCCCAGCATTGTGGGTATGGTGCGCACCTGCATTAGGAAGATGCTGTCTGTATGTGGACACATCCTGTCCTCAACCTCCAAGCTGCATTAAGAAATTACTAGTCTGTATTTTTATTAAGCCTTAATTTTTTTTAAAAACATTTGGTGCCAACATGTTTCTAGAGCTGTATCAAAACAAGAAACCTGTCCTCACATCACAATGCAATTTTGATAGGAACATTTTGTTATTTTTACAAGGCAAAATTAGGAATAATGGTTGAATTAAACTTCGTAACCACGTAATTAAAGTCTTTGCCTGTTTTGTGTGTGTGTTCTTTCCCATCCATCCATTCTGCAAACAAAATGCCATAAATTGGCTCCTTTCCCCACGACTATTTTCTGGTAAGTTTGTCTCTTCCTGCCATTTAATCTGGAGGATACCCAAATCAATCTTAAAGCTTTGAGCAGGCTATGCACAGTGGCTATTGCCTGTGATGCCAGTGACTTGGGAGGCTGAGACAGGACAATTGTAGGTTCCAGGCCAGCCTCAGCAACTTAGCAAGACCCTGTCTCAAAAAGGGCTAGGGATATGGCTCAGTGGTATAGCACCCCTGGGTTCAACCCCAATGGGATACGCACACACAAGAAGCTTTGAGTGGGGAATTTGCCCTAAGTTAAGCACATTGATTATTTTCTCTTGCTACTAGTTATCCTTAAGGTCTCTAATGTGCCTCTAGCTTGGCTTTGAAATCCCCCATGATTAACCCTGTAATGAACAGGTGAGATGCTGAGCTGAGTGTCAGATTCAGTGCAGAAGCGCAGATCAAATGTCTGTCTTCTGTTGGGTTAGCTATTTTCCTATGTCCCCAAGCAAACGTAGTATTCTCATGTATGCTATGTGGATTCAGGGAAATGAAACAGACTGCCTGTGAGGAGAGCCCCTCTAAGAGATACCATGCCATTCTGCCAGCTGGTTCAGGGCTTCAAATGAAAACCATGTCCTCAGAAAGCTAGCATGGTTATCTGGAACACCATCTTCACTTGTTCATCCATGCGATGGGATGTGTAGAGCAAGTTTCAAGAACTGGGTTAGGCACTGACATTAAATTACCTATTAACAGCAGCTGTTCAAGCTGGGATTGTGGCTCAGGGGTAGAATGCTCACCTCTCACTTGCAAGGCCCTGGGTTCGATCCTCAGCACCACATAAAAATAGATTTATAACGGTATTGTATTCAACTACAAAAAAATAATAAATATTTTTTAAAAAACAGCAGCTGTTCAAGCTAAGGGCAGTCACTGAAATCTGAGTCGTTCAAGTCCCCAGAGGCCAGACATCGGACACTGGTAGCTCTACCAGTGTTCAGGTGAAAGCCAGAAAAATAAACATCAGAACTGGTATTTTGAAGTCTTGTTCCTCCCTCAGAAATGTGCCAGTTCTGGGACAGCATCACCTGCTGTGTTATCTGGGAGATTCTTCAGGGAGTCAAACCTTGCAAGCAGGTACATATCTCGGGAATTGAACCTAGGGGCGCATTACCACTGAGCCACATCCCCAGCCCTTATTTTTATTTTAAGATGGTTTTGCCATCCTGCCTCAACCTCCAGAGTTGCCAGGGTTAGGTTAAATCCCACCCCCACCCCCCCACCCCCCCGCCAGACGGCTCCTGCCTCAGCTTTCAGAGGAGCTGGGATACAGGCATGGGCCACTGAGCCTGGCTGAATTCCTTAATCCTTAGCATTCTTGGAGATTGTTAGTGAAACATTCCTTAGAAATCAGAACTTTCGAAAGGAATGAGCTCACCTTACATTTTATGGTTTTTTAATGAGCAAATCCGAAGTTCTAATCAGTTGACTTCAACTTAATATTGTATATTCTGTAAGCACCGGGAATTACCCAGCATGCCAGCTTGTTAAAATTTCATGGTTTCAATCAATTTCAGGTAACCAATTTCTGAAGGTGGTGTTCATAATAAAAATAATAGTGATGTCCACGCCGGCTGGCCGGGTCATGGCGGCTGCCCTGCTGGGGAGTTCTCGGAATTCTCGAGGTTCTAGCCTCCGGAACACAAGCCTGCTCCGCTATCGCTCTGCCGTGACCGGCACCCGCGGGTGGCGCCGCGGAACCCGAACCGCCTGTGCAGGCGGGCCGCCAATTCCTGGTGTCGCGAGGTGCCCAGGCAGACGTCCAGCCCGGGCAAAAGCGCGGCCCGCAGCAGCTGGCCCCATCTCGCAGCTGGGACACAGCGTGGGAAGGCCCCCAAGCCACAGACGCGGCAGGAAGCGCCGCTTCCCTGACGCCGCGGCGCGGCCCCACCCTGCGGTGGGCGGGACTTCCGGCGGGCGAGTGACGGGCGCGGCTTGGGCAGCGGCGGCGGCGGCGGCGACCTGAGGCGACAGCGGCCGGTAGGGGCGACGCCGCGGCCCGCGGACCCGGCAGCCGGAGCGCCGCGCTGGCGGCGGCCGCCGCGATGATGGAGATCCAGATGGACGAGGGTGGCGGCGTGGTGGTGTACCAGGACGACTATTGCTCGGGCTCGGTGATGTCGGAGCGCGTGTCGGGCCTGGCGGGCTCCATCTACCGCGAGTTCGAGCGCCTCATCCACTGCTACGACGAGGAGGTGGTCAAGGAGCTCATGCCGCTGGTGGTGAACGTGCTGGAGAACCTGGACTCGGTGCTGAGCGAGAACCAGGAGCACGAGGTGGAGCTGGAGCTGCTGCGCGAGGACAACGAGCAGCTGCTCACGCAGTACGAGCGCGAGAAGGCGCTGCGCAAGCAGGCGGAGGAGGTGCGTGGGCGCGGGCGGCCGGCGGCCGAGCCCGCGGCTGGCCGCTGGCTTTGAGCAGGGCTCTGGGCCGCACATTCCTAGATTGGGATGCTCGGGCCTCACCACTGCGGCTTCAGACTCCCCACACAGGGGATTCAGGAGCCCCTAGGATCTGAGAGCTCAAAGTGACCCGGGCCGCTTTACTAGGGAGGGAACTGGCCCTGAGAAGTGGAGGGGCCCGACCAAGGTCACACACTCCAGAAACACCGGGCCAGGATGCGGAGTGGACCCAGACGCACGGCCTGGTCTCTTCTGGGTTACTCCTCCCCACATACCCAGCGGTGAAGCTGTGGCTGCCTCCCCCTGTGCTGGGCACCGCCCTCCACTGCTCTGACCACTCAGGGCCTTTTGATGCCTGACGGAGGTTTGGTTGGCTTTCGTTTTTATTCCCAGCCTGTGTAGTCAAAATAGTGATGAGGAGGAAGTAAAAGAAGAAAACCAAGCTGGACAACCTTAAGACCGAGTTGTAGCTGTGTACCTAAAAATGTACACTACCTGGCTTAGGTACCCTGCTTTGTGCAGTGCCAAGGCAACCTCCAGGGAGGTGCCTCTTCCTTCCCACTTACACTCAGCCTGGACCACTGCTCTTAAGTATTGTGCCTGCGCCTTGCAGAGAGATTGCTGTAATGCCCTTACCCTATTGCTCCAGCTATTTAGACAGGCTGCACAGAGAGCTGTGAGCTGAGCAGTAAGCAAATACCCTGGGTTGGACTGGCCAGGTGGAGGTGGCAGTCAGATGCTAATATTATGCCCTTGGGGAGAGTCAGGTACTGTTACAACTGAAGAAAAGGGTTCAACCCTGTAAACATTGGTGTTCTGGCTCCTTTATGGAATCAAGCAGACATTCACTTTCAGTCTTGTGGAAAAGACCACTGCTCTTTGCTGGCTTATTCTTCTAGTCAGGGACTCCTGATCATGGATGTGTGCGATAGCCCAGGATCTGGACGTCATGGGCTGCAGGCATGACATGGTGCAGAGGAGCTGGGATGAGCTGTCAGAGGATGCTGCCCTAGCCACTCTGCTCAATTAGGCTTAGTCAGAGATGGTAACCTGAGCCAGCTGCAGCCTTCTGAGAAGACAGAGTCTGCAGGGTTTTTGAGGAAAACCTTGAGCAGAGTAAACATCCCTGTCTTCTACTCACCCTGTGATAACCATAAGGAGATTCTTGGTTCTGATACTGAGTGGCCAGTTCTCTGGAATTGAGGTCTATGGTGAAGGGCCCAAGCCGTGGAGTCTGCAGATACCATCTTGGGCACCAGCCCTGTCCTTGTGAGCGGCCTGTCCACCCGGTCTCTCCTCCTCTGGGCCACAGTGACCTCTTCTCTAAGTGGATTGCTTGTCAGCCTTGGCATGTCAGTTTCGTCTCAGATGCTGGGCACCACTATTGGCTCTGAGTGGCCTGAAGAATCATGGTGAGGGTTTGAGACATCAGGCAGGACCCCTGGTGGGGTCTCGGACAGCAAGCCCTGGGTGTTGCCAGCTGTTCAGATATTAGCACAGGTTCTCAAAAGGGTTGGAAAGGGGCAGCTGGCTGTGTGTGCCAGGCCTGAAAGGACAGAGGCTGGAGCTTGCCCAGGTGGCAGAGTTCTTCTTGCAGCAATTAAGCACCTAGCTTATGAGAGGAAAAATAAGGCTTCAGAGGTGAGTTTTAGTCATCGCTTACTTTAAAATCTCTTTAACCTTAGAGAAGCTGCTAGTAGCATCCCTCACATCTCAAGTAATGCAGGTGGGTACTCTTCCCACAGGAGGTGTCTGTGGACATTTGCTGATGATGGACATTTTTTTTTTTTTTTTAAAGAGAGAGAGAATTTTAATATTTATTTTTTAGTTATCGGCGGACACAACATCTTTGTTTTTTTGTATGTGGAGCTGAGGATCGAACCTGGGCCGCACGCACGCCAGGCGAGCGCGCTACCGCTTGAGCCACATCCCCAGCCCTGATGATGGACATTTGATGCTGTGTAAGAAAAGCATCCAAGTGGAGGAGAGTTTGATCCAAGACTTCTTTTTTCCTAGTTAGACAAAAGTAATCCATTTCATAGAAGAGAATTTGGGTAGGATCAACTGGAAAGTGGGGCAGCTGGGATTGTGGCTCAGTGGTAGGGCAATTGCCTAGCACATGTGAGTCATTGGATTTGATCCTTAGCACCACATAAATAAATAAATAAAGGTATTGTGTTCATCTACAACTTAAAAAAAGAACTGGAAAGGGGGTGAAAAATCCACATAATCCCATCCTGCAGAGATGATCTCTCATGAATGAGTAAATACATTGAATCAGAAGTTCTTGCTCCTGTTTCCTATGTCAAAAGTAGTAAGTTCACTGCTTGGACAGTGTCTGCCATTTCTTCTTCAGCCAAAGTGAATATTAAGAGCAATTTTGGGGTTTTTTTTCCCCTCGATGTACTAGAACTAGAATCCAACCAAGTTGGATGCAGCTCTATCACTGAGCTGCATCCCCATCCCTTAAAAGAAGTTCTTAAATACCGGTTTTTGGATGAAGCTGTTAAGATGTGGTGGCCAGAGCTGTTTTTCCTTGTTGCCTCCAAAAAGTTCTTCAACTGTAGCAGTACCAGAAGCTCCAAGAGCAAAGCAGTGTCATACTAGACTCATTTTCATGGCACTGGGAATCAAACCTAGACCTTTGTGCATACTAGAAAAGGGCTCTACTCCTGAGTTGTGTTCCCATTCTCCAAACAGAGTCACTCTGAAAGATGGAAACAAACAGGTACAGAAACCATGAGCAAAGAGCTACTTCAAGCCAGGGAGAACATGGGGGAGCTAGCTGGGGTTCAGAGGCCTCTGGAGTGAAGCCTGCTGTTCTGTGGTGAGAACCTTCTGGGCTGCCATGGCAGCCCAGGTGGACCAGGGGGGCTGAATGTGGATGGAGGTCAGTTCCCTTAAAATTTGAATTAATCTTTTCTTAAACTTTTTGTTGCAATAATATACAGAAAAGTTGCAAAAATATTCTCCTCATGTGGATTCCCATATGTGAATCTTTTCCCATTTTGTTTTCTTTCTCCCCCATTCTGCTAAGGCCTCAGGGTCCTGCATGTCCCTATAGTCCCTGATATTCTGGAATGGTTCCTCAGTTTCTGCCCTTTGTGACCTTGACATGTTACAGCTCACATTAATTACTTTGCAGTGTATATGCTGGTCTGGCTTTCCTGTAACCTGGTGGCCAGACTCATTCTCTAAAGTAATACTCAGGGCTGCCGAGTCTGGGACATCTTGACCACATGCAAGATGGGCAGGCAGGAGGGGCACAAGACAAGATGTGAGAAGAGGCCTGGTCTTCCACTTCCTCTCCCCGTGCGTGCTGCTCCCCTTGCGTAGGACCCTGCCAGCGTTTTTCCCAGCCAGTTCCTGGCCCACCTGACTCCCTGGCATCTGACAGTGTACTGGAGAGAACAAGAATGTCCCCAGCATTCACCTGCTATGCCTCTCACCCTGACCTCCCCAGCTAACTTCCAGTTTGTTCAGGGACAGGACCAGGGCTATTCTCTTCTCCAGCTAGCCTGTGTGAATGAGCAGGGGAGCCAGCTTCCCCTTTGCTCATCTTTCCATGCCGCACCTCAGTTCCCAAAATCAGGGTCTCTTAGGAGCAGCCCTTCTGTCCAGCAGACTTCTGTGGTGATGGGCATATTCTAATTTGTGCTGTCCAATCCAGTGGGCCCGTGAACATTTCCAGTGTGTCTTAGGGAGCTGAGGAAAGGGGATTTTAATTATTTTCCTTCCCTGGTGCTGGGGATAGAAACCAGGTCCTGATACTTGTAAGGCCAGGTCTCTTCCACTGAGCCACACCCCAAGCCCTGGTTTTCCTTTTAATTATTTTATGTTGAGACAGTCGCCTGTGACCACGGCACCTGTTCTAGACAGCACAACTGTGAACAGTCTGGCTGAGTCCCTTTCAAAGGGCAGGTGGTAAATGTTTCTAAGTTAGCTTCAGGCAAGAAAGGAAGATGCTTAAAATTGGGTTTGGGTTTTTTCAGTGAACTCGTTCCAGCCAGAGGGACTTGTTTCTGCTACAGGAGAGCAGGTAGAGGAAAATAGGATGAGATGGAGCCAGTGGGAGGTGGTGCTAACTCTCTAGGAAACAGCAAGGAGGTGACGAAAATCCTGCAGGGCTGAGAAGAGGTCTGCTGGGAGATCCCTGGCTCCTAGAAGTCGCCTTTGCTGATGGTCACAGGACTGAACCTTTTACTCTGGGCTTCACTATCTTTTATCTTTTATTTTTTCAGGGGGAGGGGTTAGCCATTGTGTTGAGGTATGGCTGGCATACACAGAACTGCACATGCTTAGTGTACAATCAACAAAGATTTTTGTTTTGGGGGTTTGAACCCAGAGGCACTCTACCACTGAGCTATATCCAGCCCTTTTTATTTCATTTTGAGACAGGGTCTTGATAGGTAACCTTGAACTTGATATCTTCCCACCTCAGTCTGGGATGACAGGTATGTGCCACACTCAGCTCAGTGTGATGAGTTTTGACATTGGTATAGACCCCTCAAGCTATCCATCCGCACCGTGAGGGCAGTGAAGGTGCCCCCCCATCCTAGAGCTCACTTATGTGATCTTGGTCTCTGTGTCTCCCTGCCTCCCCTATCCCCAGTTGACCACTGATCTGCTTTCTGCCCCATTGGTTCATTTGCATTTCTAGGACTTTCTATACACAGACCATGCAGTATATGCCCTGCTTTGTCTCACTTCTGTCACTTGGTATTGTGGTTCTGAGATGTCCAGGCTGTCACATGTGTTGTTCTTCACTGCTAGGCAGTGTCTCTGCCTGTTTGTGTGTCTGCCTGCTGATGGAACTGGGGGCTTCACTTTTACGTGGCCTTGGTGTGCATGCCATCTGGGGACAGGCCCTGTGCAGTGCAGGTATGTAGGTGATGGCAGCTGCACCATTAACATATGCAGGAACAGTTGGGTGCAGTGGCCAAGTCTGTCATTCCAGAGACTCGGGAGGCTGGGACAGGAGAATCACAAGTTAGAGATCAGTCTCAACAACATAGATCCTGTCTCAAAATTTAAAAATAGCCGGGCACATTTTTAAAATTTTAAATAATGGTGGTGCATGCTTGTAATCCCAGTGGCTTGGGAGGCTAACAAAGGAGGATCGAGAGTTCAAAGCCAGCCTTAGCAACTGCGAAGCGCTAAGCAACTCAGTGAGACCCTGTCTCTAAATAAAATACAAAATAGGGAAAGAGATGTGGCTCGGTGGTCAAATAACCCTATAACCCTGAGTTCAATCCCCAGTACCAAAAAAAAAAATTATACACACACACATATATATGTATATATATACACATATATATACATATATACGTGTGTGTGTGTGTGTATGAATTTTGGCTGGGGCTGTCGCTCAGTGGTAGAATTCCCTTGAGTTCAGTCCTCAGTATCACAAAAAAAAAGCAGAAATGTGCTCAGGACTGCTGGAGGAGACAAAAGCCAGGAGACTGGAGTCTATTTTTGACCCCGTGCAGAGACTGGCCTGTTCTAAGAACACATTCCAGCCACTGGGGACCAAGTCTCGCCCTGAAGAAATACAGTGTTTTTCGACACATTTAGAGCCCATGTAGTCAGTCATTTGCAGTTAGGTTTTTAAGCACCTGTGAGGATAGGAGCTTTGGGATGGCAAGTTGAATATGACAGATATTATGTGCCTCCTCTCAGCTCTGGAGTTTAGACCCCATTCCCCATAGCAGTGGATTCAAAGCAGGACCTCTTATTGAAGTGTTCTGGGGCCTTCTGCCTGCATCTTGGCTTCCCTTGACACTGGGTATCATTCCTTCCATTCTCTGCTTCTTGCTGGGGTCCTGTTCCCCAACCTTTTCCACCCTGGCCTTCCTACCACCTCTCCTCCTCCCTAGCAGATGAGTGCCCAAACAGATACTGCACTGAGTGCCTGCCCTGTGCCTTTCTTAAGTTTGGAATGCTCTTTTCTTGAGAGCCAGTACTCCTGGCCACAGAACAGGAGAAGCATTGGCTGGAGCAGCCACAGAGGACGAGTAATGTTTCCCAGCGTGGCACATGGGTTTAGCTTCTGTTTTCTTACTTCCCCTTGTATCACTGACATAATCCTTTTCTTTTCCCTGTCTTACCAATTCTTAAAAACCAGTATGTATTAAACCAGCTGGATGGGTTTTGGGCAGGCACTGGAGCACATATTCCCTTTAATGTAAATGTGAGGAATGCTTGCTGTGTTCCTGGGATATGGCCATTCTCAGAGCCATGTCGGAGTACAGAAGTATCCCTCCTCATGAGTGTGCCATCCAGCAGACCTTGGAAGCAGTTTCTGACACCCAGGGTCACCCTCAAGACCTGCTCTCCTGCTTTTCAGACCTAGGTTTAAGACAATCATGGGAAATGGAAAGGTGGTTTGGGTCCTTTGCCTCTAGCCAGCCTGGAGTAAAATTCTGCAGTGTCAGGCACACGCCATCCCCTGGGAATCGGCTGCAGAAGAAGGGCACCTGCCCAGCCCAAAAGTCAAAGATGAGAGTGTCTTTCTTTTGGAAATTTGTTTTTCTCCCTCCATTGGATGGAGTCCTTTCAGTGACCCTGGTTTCTAGGACATGTGAGAAAGAATTCAATCTGAAATGTCAGTTTGTGTTGCTGGTGGAATTTCCTTGCATGTGAAAGTGTCACAGGTCTGGCTAGTGCTTGAGAGGCAGTGTCTGGTTGTTGCTGCACTTCTGGGAATTCCATGCTGACCTCTGTGCATTTAGCAGGAAAGGTCAGTTGAGTTCTGTGTGGTTTTACAGTTGGAATAGAAAGAACCTTGCATTCTGGTGAACACTAAGAAGAGATTTCTCTGATACTAAATGTTGGAAGGGCTTGTGCTGTCAGATTATTTTAATATATATCTTCAAATTCACCAGGAAACAAATTCTGATAAGCTGGCCAATATATGAGGGGTAAGGTGGTTTTCAAGTTAACCTGGAAAGAGAGATGTGAGAATAACCAAGGAAATGCTGGTGAGGAATGTTTGTGAGGAAGCACACCCCTCGGGTTCAGGACTGTGTTTGGTACCAGTGTGCCTGGAACAAACCCTCTTTTGGTCTGATCAGAAATAGACTGAAACAGTGTGATCTAGCACCTGAGAAACGCAGCACTGTGCAGTGACAGGGCAGGAGAGGGGCAAACATCACCAAGGCAGCTCCCACACACAGACCATAGGCCGCAGTGCCAGCACAGTGCAAGGCCTGGGTTTAGTTTTTGTTTTATTTTGTTTTTATGATACTAGAGACTGAACCCAGGAGTATTCTACCTCTGATCTACACCCCAACCCTTTTTATTGTTTTATTTTGAGACAGGGCCTCACTAAGTTGCTCAGGCTGACTTCAAACTTGTATCCTCATGCCTCAACCTCCCGAGTAGCTGGGATCACAGATATGCACCACTGTGCCCAGCTAAGACACAAAGACTTGATTAGGTATAGTGAAAATCCTAATGAATCAGTAAAAACAATATAACAGAATGAGTGATTTCCAGAGGTAGCCTATATAAAAAATACACTTGTGAAAAAGTTTTGGTGTCATCAGTGACAGGGGAACTGAAATTGCAGCCAGCCGGCCATGCCACCTTTCTCCTCACAAACTAGCCGAGACCAACCCCATCTTTTCCAGGGACTAGGTGTGATGCTTGGTGTCATCAGTTAGTCCAGTAATGGTGGGTCCTGAGCTGAGCGGTGATTGAAATGCCATGGGAATAGTCAAGGCCCAGCTGTGTATTGTGGAGCCTGTATTCAACAATTCCTAAACAGCAAGGCTTTTATCGAGCAAGGGCCTCCTCCAGGTGGGGCTCTGTGGCAGCCTATGTGCCATGGGAGCATGAAGGGTGCCCGAGGAGTCAGAGTGCCCATGCATTGTGTTAACTGAGGAGAAGTTTCCAGGGGTGTTTGGTCTAGAGTCCCCTGTTGCTTGCTTTCAGGACTCAGCTATGCTGAGATTTGCCTGAAGGGGGCCAGCACCATAAAGGGTTGGAAGCCAGAGTCAAGAATGGGGAAACCCCCCATTCCAACCCTGCCACTGTCCAGCTCATGGCCTCTCGAGGCTTGAAGCCCATGGCCCTTCAGGTGAAGAAGGGCTGCAGTCCCCTTCTGGCTGCATACCTTTATAACACCTACCTGCTTGTTGTTTCTGTGCATAGAAATTCATTGAGTTTGAAGATGCCTTGGAACAAGAAAAAAAAGAGCTCCAGATCCAGGTGGAGCACTATGAGTTTCAGACACGCCAACTGGAACTGAAAGCCAAGAACTACGCCGATCAGAGTAAGTGGCTGGCAGGAGAGGTGACACGAGAGGGAGCATGTGCATGGTGTGAGGCCCGGCTGGCTGGGTCAGAGATGAGAGCTTCTGGTGAAAGGAGATTAGAGGAAGCCCAGTGATTTTTCTCAACTGCTTGTTTAATCTCCACACTAGCATGTGTTTCTGTGATCACCTCAGGTCCTTTGTGGAAGAGAGAAAAATGGATAAGACTCCTAATCACAAGGCTCTGCTGTTTTATAGTGAAATCTGACCTGAAAATGTCCACTCCGTGGTCTTGTGGTCCTGCTGGCTTCTTGCTCCCACCTGCCTGGGGAGTGAGTGACTGGTCTTTGTCCAGCTAAAGGTCCATCCACGACAAAGCCATTGCTGTCATGGCAGTGCCTAGGAGAGTCTCATGGTTGGCCAAGGGTGTCTGTGGGAAAACCCTGTCCCGGCAAAGCAAGGCAAAGAAAAGGTGTTTTGTGGCTTAGCGGTAGAGCGCTCATTTAGCACGTGCTAAATAGAGGCCCTGGGTTCTATCCTCAGCACCACATAAAAATAAATAAATAAATAAAGGTATTTAAAAAATAATTACAGTATATTATTTAAAAAAATAAATCCGAGGGCTGGGGTTAGAGGTATTGTGTCCAACTACCATTAAAAAATAAATATTTTTTAAAAACTAATTTAAAATAAATAAATAAAATCATTACCATGAGAATGTGTATTTTAGTCTTCGACATTATACTAAAACTGTCGTCATTAGCTGTGTAATCTTAGTCTCTATAGAGGTGTTTTATTGAAACCCATATGGCCACTTTACCTGATTTCCCTGGATGGCAGGAGCCTTTTTTTTTCCCAAAAAGTAAGAACCAAATTGGGGGAAAAAGCAGTTTGCTATGTTGGGCCTCTCCCCATCCTTAGATGCCTTCTGCAGCCAGCTACTTCCAGGTGCATTGGTGTTTAACCAGCCAGCCCCCAACCTGAAGTCCCGCTGTAGGCACTCATAGGAAGCCCTTTCTGGAGTTCCCCATGCACTAGTGTTCTCTTTACTTAGACTGTGTGTCATGTGTGAAGAGAGAAGAAAGATTGCAACTAGATTGCAGGCAGTGATTACTTGTTGGGTAGGCACCAGGTGAGAGGGGTCATAGAGATGCCCTGGGACTCTAACACTACGTTCCTCTGCAGGAGAGCACAGTTAGGCAGCCAGCCTCTCCAAGGACAGAGCAGTGGCCGGGTCAGAACATGCCTGACATAGGTTGTGTGTTGTACACCAGCACCTGTAAGTCCCTTGTGTGTTGGGTGCTGGTGTCCATAACAAGCCTTCTAGGCTTCTACCTCTAGCTGGAGCTCCTGCTGCTTCAGCGGGATCCTGCACCACCAGACACTGCCAGGCAGGCCACCTTCAGGTCGAAGAGCAAAGCACACCCTGCAGTGAGAGGTGGAACCATGTCATTTGATAAATCAAGTGAAAGCAGACATCAGGAAGCCAAGGAAGGGTGGGAAGGTCTCACACTGAGGATGGGGTACTGGCTGCTGAAGGATCATGCCATACGAGTCCCTGGACTTGTCTGTTTTATTGTCCTGCTTCTACTCTTCTTCCTGGCCCTCCCATCTTGCTGGGCTGCAAGGACAGAGGGCTGAGCAGAGCCACAGGGGGAGGCATCTAAGATCATTGCATGCTGGCTTTTGGCAGGACATGGGGGCATCACCTGGCCCCTGCTGCCAGTTAGCCTCTTGGGCAGTTGTCTGCTTGGGCAGGCACATGTGGGGCCAGAGGGGACTATCCCAGTGGCACCAGTGGCCACCAATTTAGGGAGGCCTTGCTGTCGGTCTCAAGGAGCCATGATTGTGACTTGGTCTTCCCAGACCTCAGCGTGTGTAAGGAGTCTTGCTGGCTGTTCTGCCACTTTTCCAAAGTGCCGTCGCTCTTAGGAATGTCTAAGAGGTTGTCTCTTCCCACAAACATTTCATTCCTCTTTCTTCTTTGCTGCGCTGGGATGAAACCAGGGCCTCCCATATCTTAGGCACATGTGCCACCACTGAGCCCTCACTCACCTTCAGTTTTGCCTCCATCACCAAACTTCCTGGCTGACCTGGGTAGATATTGCTTCTGTGTACCTGCTTGTCCTGGTTTTCTTTATAACTGAGTGAAGTGCTCTCCCACAGATAGCACACACCATGCCTCTCGTGTCTGCCCTCCAGCAGTCATGGCCCTTAGGGCACGAGATGCTACACCAGCTTCTGGTCCTAGCCTGGGAGAGGGACCAGCCTTGTGGGAGCGGGCTGTGTGGCTGACCCATAGGCCTTGTGTCTTCTAGTCTCTCGGCTGGAGGAACGGGAATCTGAGATGAAGAAGGAGTACAACGCCCTGCACCAGCGGCACACGGAGGTGGGCACCAATGGGCCTCCCTGGGTGGGAGGGGCCTGAGCTGCAGCCCACACCTGCTATTTGCTGGTGCCACCTGTGTCTGGAGGGAAGCTGTCTGCCTCGGCTGGTTTGGCCCCTTCCCCTGGAGTTGCCTGTTTTCATTGGAGCACAACTGCATCTGAATCTTGGTGGTGAGGGGCCCAGGGGTCTTCACTGATGAGAGTCCCCTTTTGGCAGATGATTCAGACCTACGTGGAGCACATCGAGAGATCCAAGATGCAGCAGGTTGGGGGGAGCAGCCAGACGGAGAGCAGCCTGCCAGGGCGGAGGTAGGCCAGCTAAGGTGGCAGAGGGGAGGCAGAGGGCCTCTGGGCAGGAGTGCATTTAGAGGTGGCTGTGGCTAAGGGCTTGTGAGTAGCCAGGCTATGCCTTTTGTGAGTCACAGGTCAGTCTCAGAGGCTCAGCAAAGTTGCATGTGTTCAGCCCTCACTATTCACATAGCTGGCAAATTTTCCCATTCACCAAAATATATTTGAAACCTCAAAATCAGTGCTCACAGTGCTTTTGCTTTTGCAATCATTTGCACAAGGAATGGGTTTAACTCAGTATAAGGCAGAACCAAGGGATCTGCCTGTCTGCCTCTCATACCAGAATTACAGAGGGAAGGGCCAGAAGGGGCTGGACACTGTTCTGCAACAAGCACCTGGAGACCTCTACCTGCTGGCGGGCTTTGAAGCCCAGCTCTGGCATCTGTTAATGGGGCTTCAGCCGATCACCCAATGCTCTGACCTCATCTCATTTATAAAATAAAGAAGGTAGAGTTTGCTAGTTATGACTTGTGGATAAAACTAGGATCTGTGTGGAGTGTGAACACATTCTTCTTGGGGTAGGGGCTCAGTGTCTGTGGATCTGTGTTCTAGGTGAGTGGAGCATGCTACTGCTAACTGACAGGATGGGCGGAGGTCAGGCCACCTTAGCCAACCACTGAGCCTCATTCCCTCTGCAGGGCAGGTTGATGCAGCAGACCCCCAGGTCCCTCTGTGTTAACCTTGCTTGAGCAGCAAGGAGAAGCCCGCCCAGGCCAGAGTCCTCTACTCTCTGTTTCAGGCCCAGGGAGCAGTATCAGAGGTCCTATCCAGTTTTGACCAGCGTGAGGGGGTGAGTGGGAGAGTACAGATGGAGGCCTGGGCCAGGGGTTCTACACCTCCATCATGTGGGGGAAGGGCCTGAAGCCAGGACCACAGGGTGAGCCAGGTGCACCCATCACCCTGTGGCCCCTGATTCTGCAGATAGGCTGGGCCAGGGAGCACCCTTGGCACACTGCGTAAAAGCCGTGCCTGCCTATTCTGTGTGTTATGTGTATAACAAAAAGGTTCAGAGGTCTAGCTCTGGACTTCATCGGCCACTGACCAGGAAGTTGGGCAAAGCTGTCTGCTTCTGTGCCCCGGAGTCTCCAACCTGGAAACAGAAACAGACGTGTGTGCCATTGTCTCTCCAGGACTGCAGCAGGGAGCAAGGCACTGGCAGTGTGCTTGCAGACACGAGTCACTGCCTACCACGGAATGGGGCCTGTGTTGCCCCCTGGGTGGGCACGGCTGCATCAGCAGCTGCCAGGCAGCACTAGAGTTAGCAAGGCAGTGTGGGCAAGAGAGCTTGGCAGACTGTGACACTGTAGTTTACAGTCGCATCTGAATGGGGGAAGTACAATTCCAAGTGTTTCTCCTTAGCACACTGTGGATGTGCTGACTTCTGGCCCTCAGAATGGCCACAAGGATTTCCAAACAGCTGGTCTTGAATTCTAACCCAGAGTCAAGGGTCTTAGTGTTGTTTTGTGTGAGAGTTGCAGTGATTCTGGGACTTCCTGCCTATCTTCTGCCAGTGCACCCTTAAAAGGGGAACAGCCCAAAGGTCACACAGTAGAGAGCACAAGGAGAGCATATCTGGGCTATCCTAGGAGCCGTAAGTGACCAGGATCTTGTGTCACAGTGGGCAGTGCCCCAAGCCCTGTGGACACTACATAAATCAGACTCCGTAGGACACTGGGCTCACCTAAAACCCTGCCACCCATGCTCTGAAACCAGCCGATGAAGGTTCTAGCCATCACCGTGGGCAGTTCAGGCCTCCCATTCCTCTGTGTATAGTGGAGGAGCCACAGCTGTGGGGCAGGATGTGCTTTGTCATGGATGATCCCATGGGGGGTGGGGAGAAATAGGCCCTATCAGATCACCTGCTTCTTCAGGTGTCCCTGTGGGACCCACAGCCTTGAGCAGTGCACCAGTCAGTGTTGGCCCCTTGGTTTCTCCCTATTGGTCAGAGTTCAGCAGGACAGGCAGACTGTGGGAAGCTGACTCCTGCTGAGGAGCCCACAGCCCTGGGACTTGTGTGTGCCACTCAGGCCTCATTCCTCAGCCTTGCTGGGACTTTACAGCAGCTCTTCCTCTTCCCTCAGGGAGCCAGAATGAGCCCTGTGAGAAGCCCTTGACCTGCTTCATAGGGGTAGTCCTGGGATCTGCTCTGACCGTGCTGTTCTGACCAGGTCCTGTAGTCTGGCAGTGGCTAAACATGTCCTCTGGACAGCACAGGGCCTCTGGTGCCTGTTGGCAAGAGTGCGCCCCCTGCACATGGCTGTCCTAGAAGCTCAGGCACTCGTTTATTTACCGTGGAATCCCAGCATGTCCAGGAAAGGGAGGGTGTCTTGTGACACCAGTCTTTGTCACACCGATCTGATCTGCCAGCTGGGCAGCAGGTGTAAGCAGCCATGTCACCTTCATCTTGAGACCCTGTGAGTTGCCCACCTCTGCAGGACACATGAGAATGCTGGCTGTGTTGCAGGTGGCTTTCGGCCATGAGGAGGCCAAGGTGCTCCCAGGGCTGGGGAGAGGGGAATTGGAGGGGCAGTGCCCAGATCTAGGCTGTGCCATCACTCGTCTAGCTGTCAGTTACACTGAGCTTCCTCACCAGCCCAGAGGCTGTTTCTCTTGCTGCTGCCGCAAGTCAGGAGCATCCTCTGGGCTGTGCCTTCCCCACCATGATGTCTGGGTTCCTGGGTGTGGACAGGGGCTGCCGCCTGAGGCCTCCACAGTAGCTGACTAAGGTCAAGAAAGTGCAGCTTTGTCCTCCTACAAAGTGTGAGCCCTTCTGGGCTTGGGAGGCTGAGGTGGAAGGCAGATAGGTCCTGTCCCCTGTGCTCAGAACCCCTCAGCTCCCCCGAGGCCCTAGTTCCTCCTTATTCTGAGCTGCCGACCACTCCTGACCCACACCAACTTTTCCTGCACTCCTGGTGTGATTTTCAGAGTCTGTGTCTCAGTAGGAGCTCAGACATTAGCTGTGCTTAGGCATGAGCAGGAGCATGCATGTGTCTCAACTCTGTCACCCTCCTTTGTGTGCACATGTGTGCTTGTGCTTCTGCAGTAGATGTGTACATGCTGCACTTGCTGAACTACTGCACAGGCCCCATCCAGGGCCTCTTGTTGAAGTCAAGATGTCTATGTGTGTGACCGCTGTTGTGTGTAGGGGAGTGGGGGTTGGGCCACCTTCTTGTCTCCCCATCATTGTCCTCGAGCTTCTTCCTCTGGCCTGACCTTCGTTCTCTAACGTGGTCTTCTTGTCCTGCCCTGTGCTGTCGCTGCTGTGTGCTGGCCGTGTCTGTCGCTGCCCTGCAGTCCTCGCCAGTCATGGAGGAAGAGGTAACGCTGTGCGTCTCTGTCTACTCAGTGCTGGGGTTGCCTTGGGCCATATGTGCCACATCAAGCTATGGAAGTCCTTGGTTTGTGTGTCCATTGCCCCATCTTGTGCGGCAAGAGCCGCCCCCATGCTCCCTGCTGTTGCCCTATAGCATGTGGTGGCAGTGAAGATGGCATCAGCTTGGGCCTAGGGACATGTTAAGTGCTTTTCACCTGAGGTCACGAGTTTAAGTGCCTAATGGGGTCAGCCAGGCCCCAGGGTGCTCCCCATGCTAATATTAGCCTCTCAAAAGAGGCAAAGTGGGTAAGAGGAGGCGGGAGCCTGCTGGGGCAGGCAGGGGTGTAGCCTACCCCAGGCTCTGCTACTCCAGGCTTTGTGGGCTCTTGACAGGGAGCAGCTCTTGGGACTGGGCCCAGGAGGCTCTGGTAGAGATCCAGCACTTTCCAGCTGTCTTTCTCAGCATCTTAAGAGTCTCCAAGTCTTGACAGGTACTGGCACCCCGTGAAGGGGTCATGAGAGCTGGCCATAGGCAAACGCCTTCTGATGTGGCTGAGTGTAGCTCCTCTGCTCCAGCAGGGTGCTGCCCCTCTGGTCCTGTGCCTGCCACTCCAGCAGCCCAGTTGACACAGCCAGGTCCCAGCAGGCATCGGGAAATAGACCAGCTCTCCAATCCCTAGAGCTGTCTGGGCACCCTTTCTCAGGGTCATCCTTCATAAAGCCATCCTCCAGCCACAGGAAGCATAGGCAGCATGCCTCTGCTCTCTCCTGCTCTCTGTCCTGTTTCCTTCAAGTACAAGAGGCTGAGTGAGGCATGCAGTAGTGTTAGTTCTTGCCCTGTCACCTCCAAGCAGAGCAGACTAGATCTGCCCCAGGGAAGATTGTGCTGCCCAGTCCTCTATGCCTTTGAGGCCTGCCTGTTTAGAGGCCTCTGACGGGAGGACATGCAATGGGAGTACCTCTGTTCCCAGCACGACTTGCAGCCCTCCTAAGGCTCTCCTGGGACTGAGCCCACAGTAGGTGTGTTGGGCTTGGCTCTCTTGACTCTGTCTGCCTGATGCTCAGAGCCTCAGAGGACTCAGCTTCCTGTCGAGGCTCGTGACAGGAGATCCTCCCTCAAAGGCTTCAGCAGATGAGGCATGCCTCACTTTACTCCAGACACATGGTATTCAAATGTTTTATAGTGATAAGACCTCATGAAAAACCAGATTGGTAGGAAAGCAGGGAGCAAAGAACTGGGCAGCAGACTGATGCCTCTGCTGGCCCCGAGCAGAGACAGGGCTGACAGGTTACCTATGAGGAGACAAGTCTGGGCTTTGTCATCATAAAAGTCACTACTCAAAGGAAATGGCCTGTCACTGCCTTGCTGTGAGATTGCTAGTGCTGACACCAGCGGTGACCATTAAAATTTGAGCTAGAGGCCAGGCACAGTGGTGCACGCATATAATCCCAATGGCTGGGGAGGCTGAGGCAGGAGGATCACGAGTTCAAAGCCAGCCTCAGCATCTGCAAGGCGCTAAGCTACTCAGTGAGTCCCTGTCTCTAAATAAAATACAAAATACGGATGGGGGGTGTGGTTCAGTAGTCGAGTGCCCTGAATTCAATCCCCGTAACCCCCCCCACCTAAAAAAAAAAAAGAAAAAGAAATTGAGCTAGAGAAAAGTGATACATCAGTAAGGGAGGGGAACGATCACACAGGGTCATGAGGAGTGGAGACTCCCCAGCACGTGAGTGCTGCTGCCCAACTGGTCCTGCCCTCTGAAGCTGGACTGCAGGATGGCCTTTTGAGAAGCTCTGTCCACCAAAGAGGCTCATGGCCCAGCGAGGGCGTCCACTCTTTCTCAGCTGACATTAACCTCCACTTCCTCTTCTCCTCCCCCTTTCCAGCAGGAAGGAACGTCCCACCTCTCTGAACGTCTTCCCCCTGGCTGACGGCATGGTACGTGCACAGATGGGGGGCAAGCTCGTGCCTTCGGGGGACCACTGGCACCTGAGTGACCTCGGCCAGCTGCAGTCCATCTCCAGCTACCAGGTTTTGTAGCCGTGCGTGGAGTAAGGGCCCCAGTGCCGATGCCCACGTCCATCCAGGGAGCCCTGTCTTTGCATGCCACCCCGTGCAGCTCCCCTGTGTTAGTCTAGCTCCTCTTGCTTGGTGTCAGGAGGTATGGGCCCCAGTGACCCTGTGTTGCCATAGCCACTTTATGTGGCTTCCCATGGCACCTGCTAGACCAGGCTGGTCCTCTCTGATCCTTAGGTGGACCACTCTACACTGGAGATGCTGTGTCTATTAGGGCTGAGCTCAGCAGCTCTCCACCAGCACACCCCAAAGTGCAGTATCCCCTCAAACCAGACTTAGGCAGGACACATATTGCTTCCCGAGCTGCCTCTGCTTTCATAGGTGTTTAGTCCTGAGACAGGATTTCAGCTGGAGGAAGCCAAAGGGCTTTCTCGTTGGGCCCTTCTCCCATCCTTGGAGATAGCTGTGAGTTAAAAAGGAAGGTCCCCCACTCTCCCTTCATAGGTCTGTACAGCCACCCAGAGAAGGCCAGATCCTCCATGCAGGACCTGGTCTCTTGCTGCACCCCGTACATAATGCTCAGGTTGCTGCCACAGGACAGGGCTCTCTGGCCACATTGCCAGAAAAGGCAGGCCACCTTCCTGGGTAGAGGAGCTGGCACTGGGTCTGGTGGCTTTCCTCCCAACATCCCCGGAGGACATGTGGGGCCTGTGGGCTGGGCATATGAGGCTTAGGTTTTTGCTTGCTGCTAGCCCTTGGAAAGTGATCATGGTCCCATGGCTGTTCCAGGGAGTAAAGTCACCAGCCATGATCCTCACTGTCCTGCCAGTGTTGGTGTACAGGAGGAGGGCAGCAGGCACATGGGGAACTGGCTGCTCACCCTCCCCCACTCCTACTCTGCAGCAGGGACTCTCAGGGGGCCCCCTGGCCCACCTTTCTTCCCACAAAGCCTTTTCTTTCTCTACTACATTGTCTGAAACAGTCTTTCTCTCCATAAATCATAGTGTTTTATGTTTAGTTCACAGTGTGTTTTGTTTGATTTTTCTTTTTTTTTCCTTTTAATAATTATCTTTTAAGTTTTTTTTTTTTTCATGCTCCAGGTTTTAATTTCTTAATTTTTTTGTTTTTTGTTTTGTTTTTGTTTTCATGTACCATAGTGTTTTAACCAAACAGTTGTGGCCACTCATGGTGAGGAATGACCGCTAGGAGTGTGTGGGTTCTTTGCAATACACTTGGAGGTCACTGCCCCACGTTGATGTTTAGGAGGTTGAGAGGTTTGCCCTAGGTAAGTGGTGACCCTATAGGATAACAGCTGGGGCCCTGGGGGCGGCGTGGCCAGTGGGCAGTACGCCCTACAGTGACTACAAGGGTCTCTGAAGGCGGGGAAAACATGGCACAGAGGAAAGTGGTCCAGAATGTGCCTCACTGCACCCCCGGCTTCTGCCTGAGCTGCTGGCATCTCTGCTTCCCTTTTAGGAGGGCAGCAGAGACCTGACCCTGCAGATCTGTTGTAGGGAAGGCCCAGGTTCTTAAGAGATCTGCATCACTGGTAGCAGTGTGAAGCAGAGTGGTCTCCCCTTCTCACACCAGGAACAAGCCGTGTGTGATCTAAACCCATGTTCAGACGTCAGGGTGAAGCAGAGTGGTCTCCCTTTCTTTCTCACACCAGGCATAAGCTATGTGTCTGGCCTAAGCCCACGTTCAGATTTCAGTGCAAAGCCTCAGCCACTGGGAGACAGCTAGACTGTGTGCAGTGTGTCTCACCCAGTACTGATGATGCCTGGGCACTGTAGAGGTCGAGTGGCAACCCTGGTCTCCAGCCCTCTCCAGCCTGACAGCAGCTGTCCCTGACCTCTTCCGACATCCCTGCACATAGTTGCCCCATCTGAGAGCTACTGTTGTGGAGGAATTTGTGGGTGTTTTGTTTTTTCCTTTTTTGATGCTGGGGATGGAACCCAGGGCCTTGGCACATGCAGGGCAGATGCTCTAACACTGAACCACATCCTCAGCCCTTTTTTTGTGTGTGTGGTTATTTTGAGACAGTGTTTGGGTAAGTTTCCTAGACTAACTCAAAACTTGGGGAGCCTCCTGACCCAGCCTCCCCAACAGTTAGAATCACAGTGTGTGCCACCATGCCCAGCTACATGTGAGATTTTGAGACTCCTTGTATAGAAATTTGGGAGCCTGGTACATGGAGTTGGAAACCTGTTCTCTGAACAAGTAGTGGTGTCTATAACTGAGGCCCTGCCCAAGCCTGGTGCTGAGCCTGTGGTCAGGCAAAGGCACATGGCAGATACAGCTCTGACCTTGGGAGCATGCACTTATCCATTCAGGTCCCTGTGTTCACCACCGTAGACAGGACTGCACGCCTTCCTCTTCTATCTGTTCCCCTCCCAAGTGAGCATCCTCACCAGTAGGAAGTTCCTCTAAAGTTGTCCCCCCTCTGGGAACACCACAGAATGTGGTGCAGCTGCCTGCCTGGGATATGCAGATTGATCTGCCTCAGAGCCCCACAAGCTGTTCCCTTCCTGTTCAATGAGGGAGGGCAGGGAGGGGAGCAAGGGGGGCGCAGGCCAGCTATGGCCTGGGCTGCCTGGAAGGCTGGCGCAGCTGCCCAGGCTTCATCAGGGTATGAACATGAGTTAATAGGGAAGTGTTTCGGGCTCTTTGTATTGAAACTGTGCAATATTTTCATCAGGAAAGACCATAGGAAAAGAGTGTTTGTTTCATGTCCCATGCAATTCAGATAAAATGTCTTCCTAATGAGATTCCTGAGGTAAGTACCTGGTCGTAATTACTGGACCCTCCTCCCAGAATATCTAGCAGTGTCCAAACAGAACTTCAGGCCATTAGGACTTGCACTGTTGTTCAGTTCTGTATGCGGGTCAGTCACACCATGAGGTGAAGCAGCGTGCCTCTGGGAGTCACAGCCACAGACGTGGTGAAAGTGTACATCCCCTTCCCAGCTGGACTCCAGCCAGGGCTGAGCAGGAGTGTCCTGGAAGCAGTGGAGGGAGAGGGACATGGCCCTGTCATCCCTCCTCAGATGCCTCCTTTCCACTGCCCCTATAGAGCCCCTTGCCTGGCTCCGGGCTACGACTGGTTTCTGGCCACCACTGTCTACAGAGGACCCTGCTTTGTCCCCTGTGTAGCATCACACCATGGTTCCCATTGCTGGTGTTTTCTTGTATCCAGTGGAGGGTACAAGCTGCAAGCCAGAGGCAGCTGCCGGATGACAGGAGAACTCCAGAGTGGCAGGCCAAGGGAATTACTGGCCCAGGGGTCTCCTGCCCCTGCAAGCTGGGGGTAGTGATGCTTATGGCCAGTAATGGAGTGATGGGGCCCCCCGTGGCCGCCCCTAGCTTCAACGCATGGTCCCTTATGTTGACCGCCCCCCTCCCTGTGTTTGGCCCTAGTGTCCCAACGATGAGATGTCAGAGTCAGGCCAGTCTTCAGCAGCTGCCACACCCAGCACCACTGGCACCAAGTCCAACACTCCCACGTCCTCCGTTCCCTCTGCCGCCGTCACACCACTCAACGAGAGCCTGCAGCCCCTGGGGGACTACGGCAGCAGCACAAAGAACAGCAAGAGGGCCCGGGAGAAGCGCAACAGCCGCAACATGGAGGTCCAGGTCACCCAGGAAATGCGGAACGTCAGCATAGGTGTGTAGCAGCCCACACGCCCAGTGCCTCAGTCCCTGCAGGGGAGGCCAAGTGCCCTGAGCCTCTCCTGCCTGGCATCTAGGAGGCTTCTCTTCCTTTTGGAATCTAGTATTGACAGCTGTAATGGTCAGCTCAGGCTTTCATGACACTGGGAATTGGGTGGCTTAAACAAGGGAAGTCTGTTTTCTCCTGCAGGCTGGGAGCCCTAGCCCAGGTATGGAGGCTGGTTTCTCCGAGGCCTTCCTCTGCCTTGCAGATGCCACCTCTCCCTGGGCCTCATATAGCCCCACTGTGTCTGTGCCTGGTCTCCTACTATAAGGACACCACTAGGGACACTACCTCAATGCAGTCATGTTGGGGTCAGGACTTCCTCCTACGGATGGGGAGGGATGCAGCCCAACAGAGCACAGTCTCACAGGGAAAAGCAGGACCTCTGTCATTACGAGGAGGCTCACAGCATGGGGTTGAGCAGTCCTGTGTCAACATTATGCTAGGCCTTCCCTCCAGGACTCACAGTGCTGGGTTGTGTCCATGTGGCCAGTGTGGAGAGGACCCTTTTTTGACACCTGGCCATGGGTCTGCAAACATGATGCAGAGGGCCACTGTGAGGGTGAGGGTTGCTGGACTGTCCACTGACCACGTGTTCCTTGTGCTCCCCTCTAGGTATGGGCAGCAGTGACGAGTGGTCTGATGTTCAGGACATTATCGACTCCACCCCGGAGCTGGACATGTGTCCAGAGACCCGCCTAGACCGCACAGGAAACAGGTGCTCACAGGACCAGGCCCTGGGTTGGGGTCAGCATTCACTCAAGCCAGTGCCTGTGGTTGAGGGTGCAGTCCTGTCCACGCTTGCACCCACAGGCTCTGGGTGTGAGCAAGGCAGAGCATCATGGGGAGCTTGTGGCAGAGAAGGCCGCTCATCTCACAGTGGCCAGGAAGCAAAGAGAGGAGGGGCCCCTAGTGACCTCACCCCCAGTGTGGCCACCAGCTGGTGACTCAGTCCTTAGCTCTGGGGCCTTCGGGGATAAAGCCTGGCGTGACAGCGGCTGTGGTAGGAGGGGAAGAGGTCTGGGTATGAAGCAGACAACTCTGTCCCCTGCCCTGTGTCCCAGCAGCCCCACCCAGGGCATCGTGAACAAAGCTTTTGGCATCAACACTGACTCCCTGTACCATGAGCTGTCGACAGCAGGATCCGAGGTCATTGGGGATGTGGATGAAGGAGCTGACCTCCTAGGTAAACTCCCCGCTGACTCCCTAACTTTCCGTTGGGAGAGAATGGGCTTTCCATTGGTTGGTTGGGTGTGGTGAAAAGACATCTCTGTGTGCTCCTGGGCCAGGCACTGTTGTCGTGCAGTTTTAGTAAGTTGAGGTTCTCATGCTACAAGTTCCACCCTGTAAGCCTATAGTGGGTGGATTTTCGTGTGCTCACAAGGTCGTGTGACCATTAGCACCCCGTTAGAGCATCTTTACCCAGAGAGGAACCCCGTGCAGTCCCCAGTCTTCCTCTGGGCCCCTCCTTGGCATTCTGCTCTGTGGGGCATTTTGGGAGGGTGGCCATTTGCCAGCATTCTGTGTGAGGAAGTTCACAGACAGCCTCCACATTGCCAAGGAGAGCTGAGCTCCTAGGCACCCCTCCTGCTAGCACACGCTCAGGGCATCCATGGGTCCTCAGGCAGGGCAGGCAGAAAGCAGTGACCTTTAGCTGGGCCTCTGCACAACACCTGCAGGGGGAGCTCGTGGTCTTGGGCGCAGCCCCAATATCTCTTGCAGCAGCAAGAGGCTGTGTGCCCACAGGTCTGCCTGTGGGAAGGAGCGGCTTTGTCCCATTTCTCTGCATGGTTCTGGATGGGTCCATGGAACGCTGCTGCTTGGTTCTGACTGCCTCAGAAGGAGTAGGAGCTTCAGTCAGAGCAGCCTCTGAGGGCGAGGCTGGGGTCGTGGAGCTGGCCAAGCCTCCACACCTGGCCCATCAGCTGTCCAGCAAAGCGCTCACCCTGCAGCTCGACTGCTGCTCCCCCACCTCCTGCTGCTCCCCCACCTCCTGCTGCCTGTCGCCCTCAAGGCTCAAGGTGTTTCCAGGTGCAGCCAGGTGGCCTTTCAAACACCACGGGTTCGGCACAGGCAGAAGGCTGACCTTCTTGTTCACTCTGCTCCAGAGGCTGTGGGCCTGCCTCCTGGCGTCTCAGGGCAGGGCATCTTCAGGGATCTGAACTCCCACAGTGCTCAGCACCAGCCCTGACAAGCTCCGAGCAGAAGCTCTGTTCTTCCAGGCTTGCATCTGAAGTGCTGGCCATGTCTCCCTATCGTGGGACTCGTACCCTGAGCTGCTCCCATGCTGGCTCAGTGGGGTTGAGTGTGCTCACACTCCAAGGGGAGGGACTAGATGCTCCCGCGGGGAGAGGACAAAATAAGCAGCCTTTTCTGTCAGGACATATTTCTAATGGAATTTTTTTCAGAAGGGTTTTAGAATATTTTTACTTTGTTTTTGTGGTATTGGGGGTTGAACCCTAACCCTTGCACGTGCTAGGTAGTGTTCTCCCTCTGAGCCATATACACAGTCTTTTAAAATTTTTTTATTTGGAGCCAGAGTCTTGTTAAGGTCCTAACGCTGGCCTTGAACTTGCCATGGTCCTCCTGCTTCAGCCTCCTGAGCTGCTGGGATCATGGGTGTCACCACCACCCAGCTGAGGCAGTCACTTTTTTTTGGTACTAGGGATTGAAACCCAGGAACACTTAACCACTGAGCCACATCCCCATCCCTTTTTATTTTTTGAGACAGGGTCTTGCTAGGTTACTGATACCGGCTTTGAACTTGTGATCCTTCTGCTTCAGGCTCCCTAGCCACTAGAATGATAGGTGTGGCCCTTGTACAAACCCAAGGCCTCACACATCCTAGGAAGGCCCTCTACCACTAAGCTATATCCCTAGACCCGTGTCACTTTTGATTGAAAGTGCTTCTGCACATTTTAATTTCTTTTCCTTCGTGTGACTGAGCTCTTTTGCACTGTATAGTACATGATCAGCTCTCTTCCATGTCGAATTGCATGGTGGATACTGCTGAACTGGGTGGCTGTGGCATCATCTCCAAGGACTGCCCTGGGGTGGATTTCTAGGAATAGAAGCACCAAGTAAAGGTGCAGGACTGAGGACCCTTGCTGCACACAGCTCCTCTCATACCAGCCATGAAGCTGTCCCACCCACAAGGAACCTGCTGTCCCTTAAGGCACTTGTGCCTGCAGCATGGTGTGCTCCCTGAGGAGCCTGCAGCCTGTGTGGAGAAGCACAGGTCCATATTGAGGAACGCAACACAATCCATGCTGTACTCGCAGCAAGTCCCCCCAGGAGTGCTGCCTGGCCCACAGCTGCTGAAGGCCAGCTTCCGTCAGACCCTCACCACTGAGAGCGGTAGGGAGGAGACAGCATCCCCCAAACACATGGGCATAGGAGCTTATCCCTGAGCTGTGCGCAGCTGGGTGCAACTATGCTGAGGCTGCAGACAGGCACAGGGGGCATCTGGAGACCCCCTGTGTGCACAAGAGCACCCCTGCTCACCACAGGTGCCCACGTATTGGTGAATTTAATAAAAAGGTAAAAGTCTTCTTCCTAGAAAGACACATATGCAGACAAAATCTCTGTTTCCATGTCAAGGACTGTGTCCCCACCAGCCACCCTGCTCCCAGCAGTAGCATAACAGCAGCCCTGAGTGACCACCCTCTGCTGGTTTTAACGGCTCTACTGAAATGTGGCCCACCCCCACCATGTCCTTCACCCATCAGAAGAATGAAGCTCGGTGGCTGTCTACATGTTTAGAGCTGTGTGACCACTGCCACTACAGAACACTGCCACCTCCTGAAAGGAAGCCCATACCCAATTGGCAGCTCTCCCCCGACCTGGCAGCTCTGGTCTGCTTTCTGGATTGCCTCTTTTGAACCTGCCAGTGGCCTCCCGCCCGGTGTCTTTTGCTCGCTGTCCTCCCGAAGGCTGAGTAGCTGCCCACTGCATAGCTGTGCTCACCCTCTCCTGCCTGTGCACACAGCCTAGGCACTGCTCCTTCTGCTCCTGATGCACACGGCCCTCAGTAGTTCTGCAAGATTGCCAGGCTCCACCAGCTTCCTCATCAGCTGGTGGCCCCTGTGGCCCATCCATCTGTCCATCAGGCAGGCCACCACCCCCATGCTCATCCTGTAGCCCTGGCTGTGGAGCCATCCCCTCCTGCCATACCTGCCTGATTGACGCAGCTGTAAGCCTGCTTTCTCTCTGCAACTGGCCCCTCCTTGCCCATCAGGGAACCTCAGGCCTGTGAGATGCCCCTGTGGGCATTGCTTATTCTCAATCTAGGTAGCGTGGTCCCCATGTCACTGCCATACAGCATCTCTTAAGTGGTGAGGACGGGAAAACCTCACTGAATCTTAGCCAGAAACCATGCAGCCTTTCAGGAGAGCCTGGCTTCTAGGGGTCCTGGCAGCGCTTACTCCTAAGAGGCCTCCAGGCGCATGTGATGGTCTTTGTTTCCAACAGCTGCCCCTAAGAAGGACTTGCATCTCTGTGGGGAGCTCTGCAAATTGCTGGCCACCCAGGGAACCCCCTGGTCCAGGTTGCATGAGACATGCTCTCGAGATGATGGACATTCTGGAGCCTTTAGTTGTACAGTGTGTGTGAGCCAGGTTGCTGCTGTGGTCTGGTGGTAGGTCAGTTTGGCTGCCAAGGAGGAGGAGGAGGAGCAAGCAGGCTGTGTGTCCCTCTCCTGTGATCACCCCAACAGAGTGCACTCTGACAGGGGCCACCCCAGCATCCAGCCCATCACCACAGTGCTGGCCTGCGTCATGGGGACCACATGCTAAAGGCAGCCCTACCCCTCCACTGCCCATGCAGCTGCAAAACAGCAGCAGCACCAGTGCAGGTCCTTTAGTGTGTGCATGTCTTGCTGTGGGAAGATCCTGTGATTTCAGGAACACATGGTCTCTGCAAGTGGGAGGTTGCCCAGCCACGCTTGCGGGAGTGGCATCCCTGTGGCCCCTATCCCCTCAGTGGAGGAAGTAAAAGGACCCTGGCACCAGGCAGCTGTTACTTCCCTTGAGCCTAGGATTCCAGTAAGTGCAGTTATTCACTGTTACTTTGGACTCCCTGTGAGAGGAAGTCTGCTGCAGATGGAACTGGAACGTGCCAGTGGGTCTGAGACCCACCACAGTCTCAGAGCTCAGCAAGGGCGCTTGCTGTTCCAGCACCACCTCATGGGAAGTTCACACACACAGACCCTACAGAAGGTGTTCCCAAATTAGGGACAAAGGGACTGAGGCACAGAGAAGCAAGGAGCTTGTCTGCATCCCTTGGCTGGGACCTGAAATGCTAACAGGCTGACCCACACTCTGCTACAGACGGTCAGCTGGCTGTTCTTCAGTGACCCATCCCACCCCTGTGGTGACCAGCCCTGGATATCTAGAAATGACCTTGAAAAGTAGATATGCCTGTGGGAGAAGCCTTGAGCACTCCCTCAGGACCATTTTGGACCCAGTGGCTGAGCCTTTCAACTTCTGGGTGTCCTCACAGATCACCAACTGCTGGCTCATAAATCCATTCAGTAGCAGGAAAAAATGAGTGATGGGCCTCTTTTTCTGGACCTGCTGAATGGACTCTGATGTTCAGGCAGAAGAGTGCATGTGAGAGCTGTCTAGACTGAGGAAGCTTGTGATGACAGTCACCCTGGACTGGGCAGTGCCAGGCACCCCCACCAGCCAGAAGCCAAGCACAAATCTGAGCCTTGTGACTCAGGTGGCCATGGGGCCAGGTGGTCTTTCCAGTAGAGGTGCTGGGTTACTGTCTTGACCAATGCGAAGGCTTGGTGCACATCCAACCTCACACCACAGTTATTCACTAAGTGGGTTAAAGATCTAAATCTGAGGATACAAGGACAGTGGAAAAGAATATTGGGGAATACCTTTACAATCTGGGCTTCTTCATGACCAGAAACACAAAGCAATATTAACAGGTGTGACTGTTGAAAATCAAGAACACACACATATGTACTTATACACAAGGCTGTGTGCATAGCAGACCCAAGGCCCTGGGTTCTATCTGTCACACACACAAAAAAGATATATATGTGATCTCCACCATTCAAGTAAGTCAAGGGCAATAGAAAATGAGCAAAGTATAAAATAGAAACTCACAGAAGATACCCACAAACATGAAGAAGCTCAGCTCCAGGATTAACAAGGAAGTGAACACAGGCAGCTGAGAGGGATAGAGCCCTGGGGTGCCACATCACAGGGGACCAAGAGGGTTGCTTGTGAGTGAGCAGCCTGGTCTGTCTTGGTTTGGAGTGGATGTTCATCTGGAGTCTGCCAGACTGGAGAGTGGCAAGAGGACTCTGCTTGTCAGCAGGTGCACTGCTAAGCTTGAGTCTCTGCAACGCAGCTAGGTGTTTTAGATCAAATGGGTCTTAGTTTGTTTTGAGCCTAGGGGTGCTCTATCACTGAGCCACATCACCACCCTTTTTATTTTTTATTTTGAGACAATCTCACAAAGTTAATGAGGCTGGCCTTGAACTTGGGATCCTTCCACCTCAGCCTCCCCAGTTGCTGGGATGGCAGGTGTGCACCTCTGTGCCCAGCCTCAAGTGGGTCTTTAATAACACGTTGCTTTCTTGTGGAATGCACCAAGTGGAAGGGATTGTTTAGTAAAATCTATAAGAGAAAGCAGTGCTTTCCACACAGCCACCCTGTGCACTGGAGAGGTATGTGCCCAGCGAGGACAGCCTACACCACCCCATGCTCCCCACCCTCCTCTGCCTCTTGACTTGTTGATTTCCTCCCTTCTCAGGAGGGTCCTCACTCCCTGTGACCCTCTGGTCATTCCTTACCACAGACCAGGGCTGGCCCGAATAATGCAAATCCAGCACCAGGTGCCCATCTGTCGTCAGGTGACCTCCCAAAAATGTGCCAGTGAGTGCAGCCAGCTCACTCTGGGGGCCTCTCAGAGGGCATCCTGCACCCATGGTTCCCAGTCGCACCCTCTTGCTAGTGGAAGACAACAGGAGAGGCTATTGAGCCCCCGAGAACTGAAGGCCCCTGTCCTCTATGGCTCCATCCCACTGCCTTGTTGCTTCTCATGCCCTTCAACGTGGAAATGGCTGGATCATTGCTTTTTCTTTAATAAGAATTTCTTTATTTGTTGGTTTCAGTCACCAATTGATCTTTGTCGCTTCCTTCCCCGTTTCTCTGTGCTCTGCTGGACGTGGCCCAGGGGAGTTCTCAGGTGTGTATCTCTCCCGTCTATATGTGTGGTCCCCCTTTCCACTGTGAGAGCAGCTGGAGCTGGGTGCACACACATGGGATGCTCCCCTGCTGCTGGCCATCACCAGGCTGTGCACACTGACCCTGACTTGTGAGTGGCTGCTCTAGGCGCCTGGCCACTAAAGCCCCTTGCTTTGCTCGCCAGTCTGCTGCTGCCCGAAAGCTAACATGGATTTGCTGCCCTGGCTACTGACAGGCCCCTCATATCTGAAACCCTTCTTCAAGCCTGAGAAAGCACCCAAGGGCCATTTCTGTAGTCCCCAGAGCCACTAGGAAGGGACTACATTTGTCAGGTGCACAGGGGATAAGGGTCCCCATAGGGCAGCTGGGCTGCGCTGTCTTCCTCTGCCCGAGGCCTACCTGCCCTTCAGCAACCTCTCAGTGTGTGCAAGGCAGCTTGAGCCCAGGCTCAGGTCGCCTCCCCTGTGTGGGCACCCCCACTGCCCTTCAGCCCAGCACCTGTGGATGACCACAGGTCATTCTGGTCTGGCAGTTGGCTTTGCAGCCCAAGGCTGAACTTCTCAGAAGGGGTAGCTGGTTTCCTCCTGCCCTCCTGACCCAGCCAGGGGTAGCTCTGAATTGCCACCTACCCTGCTGTCTACGTGGGCTTAATGCGCTTCTTTTTTCTCCCTCCCTGCCCTGTCGCCCGTCTCCTGTGGGACTGGGACGTTCCCCAGTGCGCGATGACTTTTTTGGTAAGGCCAAGGCCCTGCTCTGATGTCTTTCCTCCTTCTGGCTTCCTCTCTACCTGACATCTTCTCATGCTTCATGAGCTGTTTGCTTTATTCTGCATGGTGGGGGCAAGGGGGCCCAGGCTTCCCAGATACCCCCAGGCGTGGGTTATGGCGTCATCTCTCCACTACCTCAGCTGGCTGTGCCTTGGTGGACAAACCTTGACCTAAGGGCCCAGCCCCTAGGCACACTGAGCCTACATATATCCAGTCCAGACACTCTGAATGTCCCCAAGCCCACAGTGCCTCCTGCACCCCAGAGGAGGTCAGAATGGACAGCCAGCAGAACCCCAGCCCCTGTGCACCTTGCCATTGTAGGACTGCACAGAGAGCGGCAAGAGGGAGTGGGGGGCCAGCTCTTAGCTTCAGCACTGTCCTAAGGGATTCCATTTGGCAGTTTGGGAATTTCTGGAACATGCCTGCAGGGAGCCTGGCCTGTGGGGTCCACTTGAATCCTGATGGGGGCAGGGCCCATTCCTCTGCAGGAGACACTAGGGAGCCCTGTCTCCCTCATATCTGCTCTCCCTGCCTTCTACTGACCCTGAAGCATGGGCCAGATCCTGCCAGGCCTGCACACAGCCTTGGGTGGCCTGTAGCTGCTGTGGCCATCCCTTCTCTGAGTCCCAGATATTGTCTGTGTCCCCTCTCACTGAAGCTTCAGTATCCATTCTCCAAAGGGTGGCTCTGTAAGGCCTCTGCTTGGTGTTGAACCTAGTTGCCAGAGGGCTGGGGAGGGGTGATGCTGACGGGAAATGCCCAGAGGCCATTCCAGGTGCTTGCAGCACCCAAACTTCTCCTTGTGGGGGGCAGCTCTGAGAACCCCTCGAGGCCCCTGTGTGGGGAACCTGCCCTGGGTTTCCTGGCTCACAGGTATTTGCAGCCTCCCTACCTTCAAGCTGGGGCCCCTGGGAAAGTCTGTCATCCCAAGGAAGGTATGGCAGCATCCGGGTCTAGCCTCGCAGGACTTGGGGAAAAACCTCTGCCCCTTGCATTTCAGGAATGGGCAAAGAAGTGGGGAACCTGCTGTTGGAAAACTCACAGCTTCTGGAAACCAAGTAAGAGGCCTTCTGTGTCACAACTGGGCAGCCCCTCGCCAGGCCATAGGCAGGCCCAGGCCAGGGGCCTGGGAGGACTTGACCCACAAGGCTGAGTGTGCCTCCAGGGCTCGATGACCGCTCACATGGATCATGGGCACCGTCTTGAGTGGGAGGGACTCAGCAGAGCTCCTGGGCAGTTGCTTCAGAAGGCTTGGCCGGGTGACCATACAGTGTAGCACCCAGGTCAGGTGGGTTGCCTGCCCTTAGCCCCTTTTTTTTTTTTTTTTTTTTTTTTGGTACCAGGGATTGAACCCAGGGGTACTTTACCACTGAACTACATCAGTAGCCCTTTTTATTTTGAGACAGAGTCTTGCTAAGTTGCTGAGGCTGGCCTTGAACTTGTGATCCTCCTGCCTCAACTCCCAGGTTTCCCTCAGCCACATTCTTGACTAGAATGTACCTTCTAATGCACATCCTTAATAATCTTTACAGAAATGCTTTGAATGTGGTGAAGAATGACCTCATTGCCAAGGTTGACCAACTGTCAGGGGAGCAGGAGGTACTGAAGGGGGAGCTGGAAGCCGCCAAGCAGGCCAAGGCCAAGCTAGAAAGCCGGATCAAGGAGCTGGAAGAGGAGCTCAAGAGGTGAGGGCTGTGGGAGGGCCAGTGGGACTCTGGCTTCCATCGTGGGCACCCTCTTCCTGCAGCATTCCCAGAAGTCCAGGCCCAGCCACTCGGGGATGTTCACTGTCTGCTCCCCTGTGGACCCTGTGTCTCCCTCCAGCCCACTGTGACCTAGCCAGGTGTGGTCCTGTCTTCTGTGTCCCTTCTTTAGATGGCATTTCCAGCCCCACTTCTTCATTCAGGAGGATCAAGGTGGGGAGTGGGTGCCTTGGCAGCCAACACCCCACCTCTAACCCCCTCAAGGTCTGAATATGCAGCCCATTGGGAGTCCTGTGTGAAGCCAGATCTAAGGACCTGCCTAACCAACCATGCCCAAGAGTGTCCTTGTACTTGTCCCCGCTCAGCCTTTGTCCACCTCTTCCTTGGCCAGAGCTGCCAGAAGTCTGGGCCTCATGTATGTGAGGCAGGGGTATGGGACCCTCCCAAGCCCAGGGCACCTTTGGGATCCCTATAGGGCTATCCTTAACCTGGGCCTTCCCAAGTCCCTGGGGTCCCCTCACCTTGCCCATTTCTTCCTAACCCTGCAGAGTGAAGTCAGAGGCTGTCACTGCCCGCCGTGAACCCAGAGAAGAGGTGGAGGATGTAAGCAGCTATCTCTGTACAGAATTGGTATATTCCACTATTAACCTGCGGGCTCGGGTGGGCGGGCTTGGGTGGGCGGGTTCCCTGGGACTTGCTGCATCTGGCTCTGGACCCTCCTTACCTTCCTACGTGATCTCTGAACCCGGTGCCTCCTTACCCACCACCACCAGCCCCCTGTCCTTGTTCATGCATTCTGCAGTCATAGGCAGGTTTCCCTGTCACCAAGCGAGGCTGCAGAAGTAGTGCCAGCCACTTGCTGGGCCAGCCCAGGAGCCTGTGTGTTTTAAGGAAAGTCCTCTAGCCTGGGCAGTAGTAGGCCCCCAGCTCAGAGTCCTATGCCTCCCTCAATAACAGGCCTGGGCCACATGACCACCTGCTTGAGGAGAGCCCCACAGTCTTGCCACTCGTCAGTCAGCTGCATGTGGGCGTGGTGAGGAGGAGGTGATGCTGGCAGCAGGCCACAGCCCCTCTCACCTTGAGTGGAAACGAGGAGTCGGCCTTGGCCTTCCCACAGCCCAGGCCTCAGGTTGGGTATATGCACCTGAGAAGGCCAAGTGCTGCATATGGGGGACCCTTCAAAGGCCACCACCCCACAGATCTCTCAAAGTTCTGCTGGGCCTCCCAGCACCATCCTGCCATAGCCAAGGCCCAACTATGGGGAGCAGAATGCTAGACCCCCACTTGGGGGCCAGTGGGACTCCCACAACCTGAAGCATCCTGCCCAGGCATAATGGCCATGCCTGTGATCCTATTGATTCAGGAGGCTGGATGGCATGTTTAAGTCCAGCGTGGCCACTTAGCAAGGTCCTAAGCAACTTTGTGAGGCCAGCTCAAAATAGAAAACAGTTAGAGGTGCAATTCAGTGGTAGAGCACTCTGGGTTCAATCAGCAGTATTACCAAAACACCACAGGGTCCTGCTGGCTGCACCTCCCTAGATTTCCCCTTGCATTTCACCTTGGACCAGTACCCGCTGTGCTTCACCTGAGGCATGAAGAACTGTCCCAAGTGTTCAGAGACTTGTAAAAAAAGTTGCCTGTGTTGTACACTCAAGAACAGCATGTGATGCTTTGGAAAAAAAAGGAGCCTAATGGGGGCAGGTGGACTTGCCATCCCCCTCCCCCCCGTCTACATCCTCCTATAGACACTTACCTGAGGATCTGAAGAATGTCCATGACTTTGGTCTGCCTACACCTGGAGGTCACGTTCCCCACCCAGGTGGCAAGCATCCCAGCAGCAGGTGCAGTGTGCTGGTCCAAGCCCTGCCTGCCTCCTGCTCTGACCATAGTGCCTCTGCCCTTTGCAGGACAAAATCCCCATGGCCCAGCGCCGCCGCTTCACAAGGGTAGAGATGGCCCGTGTGCTCATGGAGCGCAACCAGTACAAGGAGCGGCTGATGGAGCTGCAGGAGGCTGTGCGGTGGACTGAGATGATCAGGTGGGCCCCAGCCCTGCTCCCCAGGTGTCTCTAGCTTGAGCTGTGGTTTCTGAGCAAGGGGTGGTGGGACAACCTGCATGTCGAGGATGAGGCTGGCCTCCATAGCACCACCCTCCTGAGGGGGTGGAGCTCCTGGTCCTTCCTGTAGCAGCCTGCAGCCTTCAGGCGGGGCAGGCAAGAGAGCCAGCAAGCTCCTCTGTGTGTCCTCCCCACAGAGCTTCCCGGGAGCACCCATCTGTCCAGGAGAAGAAGAAGTCCACCATCTGGCAGTTGTGAGAGGGGTGGGCGGGATCCCTGGAGGGTGGATGGTCAAGCCCCCAGGGCCACTGCTACTCACCCCCTTCCCCACCTGCAGCTTCAGCCGCCTCTTCAGCTCCTCCTCCAGCCCGCCCCCGGCCAAGCGCTCCTACCCGCCAGTGAACATCCACTATAAGTCTCCCACCACTGCTGGCTTTAGCCAGCGGCGCAGCCGTGCTATGTGCCCTGTCTCAGCAGGCAGCCGACCCCTGGAGTTCTTTCCTGATGAGTGAGTGTCCTACAGGTCTCGCTGCTCCTCTGGCCTATAAAGGGAAGGGGGACAGCGAGAACCAGGGCTGGGAGGGCAGACCTGGCCAGGGTGTCGGGTCATGACCTCTGGGTGCACATGCTATGTGCCCTGGCCCCCCAGCCTTAGTGAGCATTGCTGGTCACCTCCAGCATTCTGTTTCAGCTGCCCCTTGGCAAAGGCTGCATTCTCGATGGAGCTCCCCTTTGTCCCTGCTCCTGTGCTGGGCTCCACAGTGGCCCTGGACTCTGCATGGCCCTCTACTCTGCACTGTGCCTGGGCTCTTGAACATCTTGCTACAGCAAGGAGCCATCTCAGGCTTGATCTCCACCAGAGAGATGCTGGCCAGGCCTCCACCCCAGCCTGAGCTGTAGGTCTCTGCCAGCTGAGCCCTGGTGGGTGGCAGGACAGGCTTCAGAACAGGAGCAGGTGCTGGATGTGACCTCCAAGCCCAGGGCACACCCATGGCTGGGAGAAGGCTAGCGCAGACCCAGGCAGGATCCCCAGCATGTGTGCTCCCTGGAGAGCCGGCCCTAGGCCATTCCTCTTGGATGGAGATGAAACCTGTAGTTTCTCCTGACCAGTGAGTGCACGTCTTCCGCCCGGCGGGAGCAGAAGCGCGAGCAGTACCGCCAGGTGCGCGAGCATGTGCGCAATGATGACGGGAGGCTGCAGGCCTGTGGTTGGAGCCTGCCCGCCAAATACAAACAGGTGCGGAGGGCAGGCCCAGGGCCAGGCGTCAGCAGGGAGCCTCACTGGGTGGAGGGACAGGCCTAGGCTGGTGGGACGGGCTGTGGAGCATGGGGCTGCAGGGCAGGAGGCTCAGGGCAGCTGGGTGGGGCTGGTCTGCCTTCTGCATTCCCGATTGAGCTCCCCTTTGGTGTGCGCCCAGCAGTGGGAGTGGCAGGACTGGCCTGTACCTGCCTCTGCCCACACACCTGCTGTGTTGCAGCTAAGCCCCAGTGGGGGCCAGGAGGACACCAGAATGAAGAACGTTCCTGTCCCAGTGTACTGCCGCCCTCTGGTGGAGAAGGACCCCACCATGAAGGTGTGACCAGAAGACCCCAGCAGAAGATGGCGGGCAGATCAGGGAGGAGGGCAGCCCTCAGGAGGCCAGCAGAGGGGTGGGTACACCTGGATCCTGGCCTGTGTCTTACAGCTGTGGTGTGCCGCTGGTGTCAACCTGAGTGGGTGGAAGCCAAATGAGGATGACTCTGGAAATGGAGTCAAACCAGTGCCAGGCCGTGACCCTCTGACCTGCGACCGGGAAGTGGAAGGCGAGCCCAAGAGCAACCACACATCTCCTGAGAGGAAGAAGGTCAGCAGGGCTAGCCAGGAGTGGCAGATCTAGAGGAGAGCAGGGGCAGTGCCCCCTCCAAGGCTGGGTCCTGGAGGAAGATGCTCCCGGGATCCAGGCCACAGTTCTCCCTCCAAGGGGCAGTACTGGCCCTGCTGCCTCCCAATTCACTGTCCCTGAGCCAGGAGCAGTGCAGGAGGTGGCTGTGGTGACCTGGCACTACCTCTTAGTCCAGGGCAGAAGAGGCTCTGGAAGCTAGGTTCTCATGTCATACAGAGGGACAGGCAGGAAGGGGCTAGACACTGAGGGAGGGCAGAGTGCTCTGTGGAGTTTCACATCGCAGCTCGACCTGGGCCAGGGACTTAGCCTCTCAGAGCTTAGGTCTGCGTCCTGGAAAGGAGCCCCCTAGCTGTGGTTCTAAGTCCCCACTGGGTGACAGGGAGAACAGCCTGTGCGCTGGAGCTCACTGGATCCTGGAAGCTCCCTGGCCCTCTTACTGCTTCAGAGTGGCCCTGAGCTGAGGCCCTAGCCTTGAACCCTGTGCCCTGAAACAGGCAAAGGAGGCCCCTGAGACGGACACCACGTCCAGCCGGGTGTGGATCCTCACCAGCACCCTGACCACCAGCAAGGTGGTGATCGTTGACGCCAACCAGCCGGGCACCGTCGTGGACCAGTTCACGGTCTGCAACGCCCATGTCCTGTGTATCTCCAGCATCCCTGGTGAGCCCTGGTCCCCACTTCACCAGGGTTACCCATGAGTGGGCACTGCCCTGTGAAGCTGGTGCTCAAGGGCGATGGTGCCTCCTTTCTACCAAAGGGCGACTAGAAAGTTTCCTAACTAGAATGAGAAGCCTGTTGGAAATGGAAGTGGACAGTGGCCAAGCCAAGTGAGACCTTAGATCCCATGTACAGGAAGATGCTGTCAGGTGGCCATGTTCTGCCTAGTGCTGGTGCTGGCTGCAGGAGGGCCAGGATCACACCCAGCTGACAGGAAGTGGCCTGTGGGGGCACTCCATGAATGCCACTCAGTGGCAGAACTCTTGCCTAGTGTACATGAGGTCCTATTTCAACCTCTAGCACCACACAATAAAAAGTAACCCTGGGGACTGGGGCTGGGGTTCAGCGGTAGAGCAGTCACCTAGCACATGCAAGGCCCTGGGTTCGATCCTTAGCACCACATTAAAAAAAAAAAAAAGAATAAAGGTATTAGAAGAAAAAAAAAACTAATCTTGGACTCTAGCATGGGCCAAACTAAAACACCACTCACAGGCATTGAGGAAGCTTTTTTTGTACTGATGTAACCCTCTGTTTGGGTCCAGACCCCAGTTCCTCACCCAGGGCTCTAGAGTTGGAGGTGTAGGAGAGGGGCTTGGCCTCTGCTTTTCAGTGGCAGCTGCTGACTTCCTGGGACCAAGCCCACATAGGGAGGAGTGGGTGGAGGGCCTTGCCAGCTCTAGTGTGGGACCTTGGGGCTGCTTGCTGCAAGGACCAGAGCCTCCTACTCGATCCCCCTGGGCCTAGGAGCCCACCTCACAGCAGGCTCAGGGTGGATGTCATCAGGGGGCAGGTGCTGGGCTGGCTGACCAGAGCCACCTCCAGCGGGAGAGAGGAAGCCTGGCCCCCAGCGTGGGCTGATGGGCTGCCGCACTTCCTCACAGCGGCCAGTGACAGTGACTACCCACCCGGGGAGATGTTCCTGGACAGTGACGTGAACCCTGAGGACTCAGGCACTGATGGCGTGCTGGCTGGCATCACCCTGGTGGGCTGTGCCACCCGCTGCAATGTGCCACGCAGCAACTGCTCCTCCCGAGGGGACACCCCAGTGTTGGACAAGGGGCAGGGTGAGTCTTGGGTGGCTTTTTTCTCTCAGTCCCTTGTTCCTCTGTCTCTGCCTAGCTGAGCATACTTCTTCCACAGGGGAGGTGGCTGCCACTGCCAGCGGGAAGGTCAACCCATCCCAGTCCACAGAGGAGGCCACAGAAGCTACAGAAGTTCCAGACCCTGGGCCCAGCGAGCCAGAGGTGGCTGCAGTACGGCCTGGGCCCCTCACGGAGCATGTCTTCACTGACCCGGCCCCCGCCCAACCCTCCAGCACCCAGCCTGGCAGGTGGGCTCTCTCAGGTCCTGCAAGACAGGAGTGGAGGAGAGACTGGCAAGGAGGGCAGGGTCTCAGGGCAGGGTGCAGACACAGGCATCTGCAACCACCTGAGCCACTGTCATTCACATAGTGAGGATGGGCCAGAGCCAGATGGCAGCAGTGTACAGCCCCAGCCAGAGCCCAATGGGGACCCCTTGGTGGTGAGCAGCAGTGCCGCACCTACTATGTGGCTGGGAGCCCAGAATGGCTGGTGAGTGGCCTGGGGCAGGGGTGGGTGGGGTCTCTAGGGAACCCTGGCCCACCACAGCCTCCTCCCGCAGGCTCTACGTGCACTCAGCGGTGGCCCACTGGAAGAAGTGCCTGCACTCCATCAAGCTGAAGGACTCTGTGCTAAGCCTGGTGTATGGGACCCCAGGCCGACTGGGGTGGGGTGGGGTAGTCTGGCCATCCTGAGCCTGACTCAGCATCTCCCCACTCTAGGCATGTCAAGGGCCGCGTGCTGGTGGCTCTGGCAGACGGGACTCTGGCCATCTTCCACCGTGGTGAAGGTAGGTCTTAGAGTCCAGAGGGCTCCCTGGGTCCTGGGGCCATCTTTAGCCAGGCAATGGGTCCTCCACCCCAGCCAGGCCTAAGCAGGTTTTACGGGCTCTCCAGATGGCCAGTGGGACCTGAGCAACTACCACCTGATGGACCTGGGCCACCCACACCACTCTATCCGTTGCATGGCCGTCGTGTATGACCGCGTCTGGTGCGGCTACAAGAATAAGGTGCACGTGATCCAGCCCAAGACGATGCAGATTGAGGCAAGTGCTGGCCAGCAGCCTGGGCTCCGCAGGGAGGGCACTGAACTGCTTAGCCGGCATTGCTTCCCCCCTGGAAGCCACATGAGGAAATGGCTAAGAGAATTTACTCCTCTGTTCAAGACATGGGCAGATGAAGGGCAGCTGGTGTACTGTGCTGCTCTGCCTGGAGCCTGCCCTCTGCTGTGCACCTTTGAAACAGGTCAGGGACACAGCTCCCCTCCACCCTGCGCTTGGTCTCTCCAGGTCCTGGCTGGAAGCCTGGTGGCCTGTAGCCTGGGGAAGCCCCAGGGCTCGGCAGGGCAGGCTCCCTTTCCTGTCCTCTCCTGCCCCAGCCCCTGCTAATAGGCTGCTATGGCCCTGCAGAAGTCATTTGATGCCCACCCACGGAGGGAGAGCCAGGTGCGACAGCTGGCATGGATAGGCGATGGCGTGTGGGTATCCATCCGCTTGGACTCTACCCTGCGGCTCTACCATGCCCACACGCACCAGCACTTGCAGGATGTGGACATCGAGCCCTATGTCAGCAAGATGTTGGGTGAGGCACCATACCAGGTGGGTGGCATGCAGGCACAGCTGGGCTTCACTGACCACTCTTCTCCTGTCCCCACCCAGGAACTGGCAAACTCGGCTTCTCCTTTGTGCGCATCACGGCCCTACTCATTGCGGGCAATCGCCTCTGGGTGGGCACTGGCAATGGAGTTGTCATCTCCATCCCCCTGACAGAGAGTGAGTGACTCCCCCCCAGCACCCTACAGTTGTACTGACTGCTGCTGGCTTGCTTGGTTTCCCCGGTGGGTGGGCTCCACACAGCCACGCCCAGGAGGCTCAGATCCCTGCCCCTCCTCCCCAGCTGTGGTCCTGCACCGAGGCCAGCTCCTGGGACTCCGAGGTAAGTCCACAGCGCCTGCCCTGCCCTAGACACAGACCAAGGTGGCGGCTCCCCTGCGCTCTTGAGCCTGCTGGAAATACGGTGACTTGCCCCCCCCCCCCCACACACTGTCTCCAGCCAACAAGACATCCCCCACATCTGGGGAGGGTGCCCGTCCAGGGGGCGTCATCCACGTGTACGGGGACGACAGCAGTGACAAGTCTGCCAGTAGCTTCATCCCCTACTGCTCCATGGCGCAGGCCCAGCTCTGCTTCCACGGGCACCGTGATGCTGTCAAGTTCTTTGTCTCTGTGCCAGGTGAGGGCTGCCCACATCCTGCCTGGATAGCCCTGTGGGTGCAGCCGTGGCCCCTCACGGGCAGCTGTCCTGAGGTCCCTCTGCCCCTGACAGGCAACGTGCTGGCCACCCTCAACGGCAGCGTGCTGGACAGCCCTTCGGAGGGTCCCGGACCTGCCATGCCTGCCGCTGATGCAGAAGGCCAGAAGCTGAAGACCGCGCTGGTGCTGAGTGGCGGCGAGGGCTACATCGACTTCCGAATCGGTGAGTGGGCACCGGCGGGGCAGGCCATGGTATGCCAGGCAGGACCCCTCACTGCTGCCCACTCTCCAGGAGATGGAGAGGACGACGAGGCGGAGGAAGGAGCCGGAGAGGTGAGCCAGGTGAAGCCTGTGCTGTCCAAGGCGGAGCGCAGCCACATCATCGTGTGGCAGGTGTCCTACGCCCCTGAGTGAGGCCATTGCCCCCCTTTCTACTGCCTGATGCCAATATGTACATAGGACCCCGCCGGCCTGCCCCTGCCTGCCCCGGGCACCCATAGTCCCTTTCTAAACTCTCAACCTGCAGCTTTCACCTGAGGCCCAGGCCCCCGAGTGGCAGGGAGTGGCCCCCGAGATGTGGGTGGAGTGGGCCATGGGAGGGAGGCGGGAGAGGGAGGTGGAGAGGTGCCTGCAGCTCCTGGTCAGTACCCCTACCCAGCATACTCAAGTCCCAGGGGCACCTTAGGGCTGGGGCAAGGCAGGACCAAGGTGGTTGTGGGCAGCCCCTGCAGCTGGCCTTGGCTCCACTGTTACCTCCTCATTCCTGGCACCCCCAGATCAGGAGCAGGGGCTTCACTCTGCCCTGTCTTCCCACCCAGTCTACTTGCTTTTGCATGCTGCCCTGGGAGAGCCAGGCCTGGTGCCCATCCTATGCCCAGGGGTTTGGCGCTCAGACTGCCCAGGTGCCTGGGCCCTAGGTAAGCCCTATCTAGGGTTTACACCTTCCCTGACTAATGTCCCCTCGGTCCCCGCCCCAGCCTCCCCAGAGATCTGGCATGGAAGCTTGGGGCTAGGGTCCCTGAGGCAGCACCTTCAAAAGACAGACCACGTACCCCTCACCCCCTAAAGCCCAAGGTCGTCCAGCCCCTCACTGACTGGTGTGCCCCAGGCTTCCCCTGGGCATAAGACTCACCTTTAAGGAGCAGGACTTTATAGTCCTGCCCCTCCCAGAATCCCTTAGGGTGGAATTTCTCAGGCTGCTAGGGCAGGCCCCGGCCTCAGGAAGAAGTGGAGGCTCCTGCCCTCTGCTAGGGTTAGTCCTAGGATGCAGGCTCAGCCTCAGGTTGATGGGGGATGGTGCGCTCCTGGGGCCTGCTTCCTGCACAGGGCTCCAAGGAGCCCAGCTCCCAGACACGTACCAAGTGCCTAGCGTTGCCGCTGTGGCCTGCTCCCTCAGAACTGACAGGAGGCTGCCAAGCAGAGGCCGGAGGGGCTATGCCACTGCAGCAGGGCTCTAGGGTTGTGGCAAGGGGGCAGGTGCTGCCCTTGCAGGTCTGCTCCTCCACCTTCCTGGGCCAGGCCTTACTCCTCCCACCAGAGGTACTGACCAGGGCAGTCTGGCCCCCGCTGCCCACTTCCTCCCACCAGAGAAGCACAGATCTTGGGGAGCTGTCCCATGAGCCCAGCTGGCCAACACAAGCTGCAGCCACAGGGAGCTGCAGGCTTCTCCCCACCACCCTGCCACCTCTCCACTGTGATGTATGTCCCATGTCTGTCCCCACTGGAGTGTGAAATGAATGGAGTGAGCTGGGTGGGTGCAAGTAGAGGAAAGGCCGGGTGTGCTTCTCCTCAGGCTTTGGCCCTGCAAGTGAACCCACGTATCTGCTCTGTATGTAATAAACATCTTAACACGTGCTGCTGTTGTGTCCCTGGGACCGAGCCAAGCCAATGCTCACATGGTTTTCCTCCAGTTTATTATGAAAAGAAATGGGGGCGAGCCAAGCGCCAGAGGTGTCCTGCACGACCTGGCCCTCTGCTCCGCGGCCCGCTTCTTCGTAGCTGTCCTGGCACACCAGGTCCGAGGGGGTGGTCCTGTTGGGGGCAGTCCTGTCGGGGGCTACTCGTACAGCCAGTGCCCGACACTGTCCTCCCAACAGAGGAGCTCATCCGACCGGAACCAGAGGGCGATCTCGCGGCGGGCGCTCTCCACCGAGTCGCTACCGTGGATTACATTCCTGCGCGGGACGGGAGCGTGGGTGGACCAGCGGGGGGGGGGGGGGGTGTCGAGCTGCAGGGCGGGGGGGGGGGGGGGGAGGTGCGCAGGCGGGCCTTACTTGCCGACCTCCACGCAGAAGTCCCCGCGAATGGTGCCAGGCTGGGCGTTCATTGGGTCCGTGGCGCCGATGAGTGCCCGTGAGGCGCGCACGACGTCCAGGCCCTGCCACACCTGAGCGCGGGGCGAGCGTCAGTGCGCGCAGGGCTCCGGGGCTGTACCCACCTGCCGCCCACGGGAACTCACCATGGCCACCACGGGCCCGGAGCTCATGTACTTGACCAGGCGGCCATAGAAGGGGCGCCCGCGCAGCTCCGCGTAGTGCTCACACAGCAGCTCCTCGGAGGCCTGCGAGAGGGAGGGCCACCGCGCTGCGCCCCGCGCCCCCGTCTCCTTCCCGCACCACCCAGCCCCCGCATGCGTCCTGCTCTAAGCGTCCGCACCTGCACCAGCTTCAGCGCCACCAGCTTGAAGCCCTTCCTTTCGAAACGCCGCACGATCTCGCCCACCAGCCGCCGCTGCACACCGTCAGGTTTCACGGCCAGGAAGGTGCGCTCGTGCACGCCGCTGCAGGCTGCGGGGACCCGGGCGTCAGGTGGCCCAGCAGCCTGCGCCCCGCCCGGCCCCCTCCCTGAGCTTACCCGCCGGGAAGAGGTTAGCGAAGATGGTCAGCACCAGGCAGATCATGGCGGCGGCAGGACCGGACCTGGAGGGCGGAGCATCTGGGCGGGGCCTGGGCTTAAAGGGGCGCGCAGGACGCGGGGCCACCCACTGCACCCGCTCGGAACGCAGCGCTGCCCCGAGCGCCCGGCGCCCCAGTTCCGCGGCGGGCTGGCCCGACCATCTCACACGCACACGCGGCCCAACGCGCAGAGAGACCAAAACCCAGGATACAGAGTGCGTTTATTCCCAGCCACAGCAACGGGGAAGGGGCCGCCTGGAGGTGGGGCCAGCGCGTGGGACCCCTGCCTCGGAGCGGGATGCTGGGGCAACAGAGGCGCCCCACTTCTCCCCACAAAACGCAAGGCCGCGGAACAAGTCGCCGGAAGGGGGTACACCCAAAAACGTCCATCACAAGGAGCCCCCCCGCCTCACCCCCAGGCGCTTCTGAGGCCCGGCCCCATTAGACCGGGGTCCGCTTGACCCGCCCCTTGGCCTCCTGTTTCGCAGGGTAGTCCCAAGGGTCCGCACGAGTCCTCTCCAGGTTCAGCAGGGGCTCCTCCGCGCTGGTGTCCCCGCTTTTCTTCCGTTGAGCCAGGATCATGGCCCGGAGCAGCGGTGGGTAGGGCACGGGGCGCGGGCTATCCTCCGTCCCAGGAGTGAAGGCGGCGAAAGCCTCCTCCTCGTGCTTGGGTACCAACCGCCAGTCGTGGTACATGACATGCTCGATCTCCCGGGCCTCGGCCTCCGTCTTCCCTGCGGAGGGAAGGCGGGGCTGACTCCGCGCCGGCTGGACAGTTGGCCACGCGCTCCTGCCAGCCAGTAGCCTTACCTTTGAAGGTCAGGACGCCCCAGGCCTTCCCGTGGTCCAAGTTCTGCGAAGCAAGAAAGAGTCGGGTCAGCTCCGGAAGCTGCTCGCCCAGCGGGCGGGGAGGCGGGAGCCCCCTTCCCTGGGATTCGGGGGTGGAGGTGGAGTCGGGGAGAGGCGCGAGGCCAGGGAGAGGCCACACCGCGCCGGGTGGGCCCGGGCCGCGCGCACCTGCGCGGTGAAGTCCGGCCGCACGCGCGTGAGGCGCCAGTAGCAAGGCTCGTCGTGCTGCCACAGCCAGGACTTGCGCGTGACCAGGCGGCCCAGGCCAAAGAGCGGGAGGCGGGCGAGCAGCTGCAGGAGGCGGCTCTCGCGGCGCACGTCGGCCCAAGCGCGCACTGGCAGCCGGTGGCCCGAGTGCGGCCGCGTCAGGGTCTCGTAGTCCAGGGCGTAGAGCTGCGAGTCGCGCGGACGCTCCCGCTGTTCGCGCAGAGCGCGCACGCGGCGGGCCAGCTCGGCGATCAGGCGCGGCCGCACCTTCTTCCGCGCCATAGTGGTGTCCGCAACCCCCGCCTTGCCCCGCCCGAACCCCGTATGTCCCGAGCCGGCCCGCGCCGGAAGCGGCCGGTGTCCCGCCCAAAGGCGTCCGGGCGTGTGCGGAAGTGGAGGGGAGGCCGGGCCATGGCGGAGGTGCGACCCGAGAGGGCCGCGCGCTCGCGCCGAGCCCAGCGGCGGCCCCCGACCTGGGAGGTGTCGGACTCTGAGGCGGAGGGCGACGGCTCTGCAGAGGCCGGAGCGCGGGCTCGGGGCGTGGCGGGGGAGCGCAGGGCGGCGGCGTGGCGGCCCGAGCAGGCTCTGCAGCGCCTGGTGGTGCGCGTGGACCCAGGTCCGGGTTGGCGGGCGGGCGGGCGACGAGCGGCCGGCCTGCGGCCCGCGGGCAAGGAGGGGCTGACTGAGCTGTCTTCCACGGGTCCAGCCGTGCTGGAGGACACTCGTGCTGACGTCCTAATGGAGGCTCTGGGCGCCCTGGACTGTGAATGCCGCATCGAGCCGCAGCGCCGGGCCCGCAGCCTGCGGTGGAGCGGAGTGAGGCACGACCCCGGCAGAGTGAGTGGCTGGTTCTACCCTCCCAGACCATGTCCCGAGTCCTGGCCCACATTTTGCAGGTGCAGCTGTCTGGAGAGGTAGCATCTCATAGAGGGGTGACGAAGCCTGCGTTGCCACTTTGCCAGTATGGAACCAGAACCAGCCTCTGTCCCATAATATTCTACCCCAGAAGAGGCTGGGGTCAGCCCTTAGTCCTGGGCTGGCCTTGGTCTCTGGGAGGCTTGACTCGGGCTTCTGGGGAACAGCCCTGGCAGGGCTAGGCATGACTGCAGTTGCAGAACTACAGGAGTTCCCAGTGTTATCTGGGCAGCTAGGCAGAGGCCCAGAGACTGGCCAAGTGTGGGCAGCAGTGCCCCCAATATCCCCACAGGTGGCTCCTGAGGTGTGGGCTACAGAGGAGCAGGAACTACTACTGCTGCTGCTGCTGGAGCCTGAGGAGTTTCTGCAGGGCACTGCCCAGCTGACCCAGGTGGTTTCCTTCCTTCATCCCATGGTACCAGGTTTCCCAGCCAGGGGTGCTGTTCTGCCAGCCAACATTTAGGGGAGAGGAGCACAGGTGAAACAGTAGAGGGATTGGGAGAGCACAGAGTCAGGACCAGGGTATACTGACTAGAGGACCCTGAGCTCAGGTGGAAGTGTCTAGGCAGGGCCAAGGGCTGGCTGAATTGGTCTGCAGCAGCTGACAGTGCAGCCTAGCCTCTGATGGAGTAGAAATAATGCTCAGCTGATGTTTGGCTAGAGAATGACTAAGTTAGACCTGCTGGGTCGCAGCGTCCATGATTTTAGGGATCCTGCTGTGTGCCATGCAGATGCCAGGCTGGGGTGCAGAGCTGGACCACAGGGTGCTCAGCCTCCCTGGCCCCAGGAGGCAGTGCAGCTGGTTTTTTGGAGAGGGTTGGCTGGACAGAGGGAGTGTCTCTGGCTCTCCTGCTCTTCTTTGCCATTGGCTGTGGGCTGGTGGTCAGCAGTCCCCCACCGTCACAGTCTTCCTGTGAACAGTGTGCCATGTGTTCTTGCCTTCAGACAGAAGGCCCACCCTGTCCGGTGCCTTGGATCTCTCCTGAGAGCCCTGCCCACCCCCACCTGGCTGTCATAGGGCTGGATGCCCACCTATGGTACCATTCACCTCAAGGCCCTTAGTGGGGCTGGCTGGAGTGGGCAGGGAGAGGTAGGGGTGCCTCTGGAGGCTGCTGTCACAGCTGATTCACTGCCCTGGGGGCCCTGGCAGAGGCAGAACTCAGGAAGAAGGGGTGGGGAACTGGGGGGTTGCCTCTGCTCAGGTCTTGCCAGCCCAGTGCCCAGGGGATGCAGCAGCTGCAGAATTCAGAGGTGGTCCAGGCCAAGGAGGCTGTCAGCTGGCCGGAAGTGGAGGAGGTGAGGGCCGTTTGGGCTGCAGGGTTGGCCTTGGTTCAGCATGTGGCTGCTCTCTGGCTGAGAGGTGTGACTCCCAGCATGGTCAAGGTGAGCCCACACCTTCACCATCCTTCCCAGGCTCTGGTGCTCCTTCAGCTCCGTGCAGACCTGGATGTGCTACTGGTGGCCTCCTGGCAAGAGCTGACTCAGCATGTGTGTGCCTACACCAAGGCCCTTGCCCAGCTCCCCTCTAAGTATGTACCCCTTCTCAGGGCTGGGAGGGGGACAGGACCACCAGAAGCAGGGAGCTCTGAGGGCAGAGCAGGGCTGGAAAGCTTTTTGAACTGGGGCAGGTGTGGAAGAGGCCAAGGCTCTGAAGACCCCTCTGCCCCTCCCTTTCAGGCAGTGCTGGGACTCCCAGGCCTTTTCCTTCTGCACAGCAGGTCGCTGGGCTGCAGGCCAGCAGGTGGCCAGAGATGGCTCTGGGTTGCGTGGGGTTTGGTGGAGACAGATCAGGCAGTTTAACCGGGTCAGCCCTGCTGTGGCAGATGCCATTGTCACCGCCTTCCCCTCCCCACGCCTTCTGCAGCAGGTAAGCTCCCAGGTACCCTTCCCCTCAGGTATGAGACCCAGGCCAAGGCCCCCCTGCTCACACCTTTGCTTGCCCTAGGCGCTCATGGCCTGCAGCACAGAACAGGAACGTCTGGGCCTCCTGGCTGACCTCCCTGTGGAGGCCAGCAAAGGCAGACAGTCCCGAAGGGTGGGGCCTGACCTTTCCCGTCGCATCTGCCTGTTCCTGACCACCACCAGCCCTGACCTGCTACTGGACCTGGGCTCCTGACCACACTTGCCGGCCTCTTCTGTCCACCAGCAGGACAGCAACAGCCCACAGGAGGACTGATCAGACCTCCTGAGAGTGGGAGGGGGACAACCACACTTACTAAGCCTGGGGTGGACTCCATCTTTGGCTGGTCAGACTTGAGGTTGGGGGGAGGAGGGGGAAGACAGATGCTCTGAAATCAGCAGAAGAGCAGGGAGGCAGAGGCCTGAGGAGGACGGGGGTTCGTGTTCCCTCTGCCCTGAATGCTCTGGCCACAGGACAGCGTGGCAGCAAGACTGTGCCCAGCTGGGCAGCCAGGAGGACTGCAGGGCAGCACCCCAGAGGGTGCTCCCTGGGGGAGCAGCAGCCTGCCCCCCGACGTAGCAGACCATCACGAGGAAAGCAGACACCGGGCAGCCCAGGCCTGGCAGAGTCTTTAATCTCAGAGCTGTGTAAGACATAAATCCCACATTTGTCACAGTCATTGGGGTCTGTGTGATGGGAACGGCAGTGGACGACATGCAGAGTGAGCTAGAAGAAGAGCAGGGCCCCAGGGCCAGGAAGCGCCAGCGGCTCTGGATCCCCTACAGAAGGGACTGTTCTGGCCTTAGGAGAGATAGGACAGCCCCCATCAGACCTTGGTCCACCTCTTCTGCCCTGCAGGGTGGCAAGGAGGGAGGAACGGAGTGGCCTTCCCAGCCCAAGAAGGCAGTTTTTGTCAGAAAACAAACAAGTCAGGTCCGTCGGCACCTCTTCCTTCGGCAGGGCCTGGCCTCTAGGCTGGGGGTACCAGGTGGGGACGCTGGGGGCTTGCGCCGACTGCAGTTCATGCTCAAGACCCAGCCCAACTTGTCACGCAGCACCTGCTTGAGACCAGGTGGCAGGGGCAGGCCCTCAAGGGTGTCCCCTGAGTCAGGGCGCAACTGGCGCAGGCGGGAGCAGCACAAGTACTGCAGGGAGGTGGCGGTGGCACAGGCACGGATCACCTTCATGCTGCTTCTGGCCGCTGTGGAGCACACCATTGGGTAGAACCTCCTGTTCCTCAGTCTGGTGGCTGCCACTCCTGCAGGGAGAAGCAGCTGAGCCTGGGCCAGCAGAGGACCTAGAAGGTGCTGTGCCAGTCCCAGCCGCACATCTGCCAACTTGGCTGAGTGAGTCAGTCCTGTGGCTCTGGCCCAAGTAATTCCAACATGGCCTCTCCCTGTCCCTCCCTCTGGGGACTTGGGGCCTCAGGTCCCAGGCAACCTGGGCCCACCAAGATTATAGCTGTGGTAGCTGTACCCTGTAGATGCCTGTCTGTTCAGGGTCAGGCTGGGGACCCTCACCTATGCATTTCCTGTTCTTAAAGAAAGTCAGCGTCCCGTGCCAGGCATCCAGGTGCACACCAATGATGGAGCCTTGGCCAAACCGTGATGAGAAGCTGGTCTTGTCACCCTTATGGTGGAGGAGCCCTGGGGGCACCAGGTGAGGGTGAGCCCAGGAGCCATGTGCTACCCTCCCCACCTGACCCTCCCCACCACTGGACCACACGAACCCGTGTAGGAGAGGCCCCAGCTGTCCTCGTCCCTGCCAAGCAGGCTGCAGAAGGTGTGATGGTACTTGTCCAGGTCCACGTCTGACGTCCCAATGCCCACCATCTGCCAAAGTGGGGCTGGGGAGTGTGTGCCTGGGGCGGAGGCCTACAGCGCTGCCCCAGGCCACCAGCCACTTACCATATCAGTGCCATAGACAGGTGAGGTCATCTTAATTTCCCAGAAGTGTTGGCCATCCCCCAGCTCCTTGGTGCCCCGGATGGCTGCGGTACCACAGCTATACTCCATATGGAAGCTGACCTTGCGGTTGTCACAGCTTAGCAGGGCAGCTGAGGACTTATTCAGGTCATCCCAGACCCAGTCAAAGTCTGTAAAACGGGGGGCCAGGTTTGTCCCTGCGCCTCCCAGGAGGGCCTGCCCCACCATCCCCTGCAGGACACTCACACTCATCCTCTTCTCCACAGCGGCAGTCCTTGCCACGGTGCGTGGTATGTGGGCTGCTGCAGAAGGGGGCCTCGCTCTGGCTCTCACAGTCACAGAAGGACTCCCCTGTCACAGGCACAGCACTGGGGATGGATGGTGGCAGGGACGAGGACTCAGGGTCAGAATCGGAGTCACTGTGCTGGAGAGAAAGGCAGCCTGTTCCCACCTGCCTGCTGCCCCAGCCCTACCAGCCCACCAAGTGCTCAGCACAGACGTGGGGACTGGCACAGCCCGACACCCCCACTTCTGCACAGGCTTTCTGGAGACCAGCCACCAGTAGTACTCTCCAGCCTTCTCCAGGCATCTTCTGGGTCTCAGATGAGCTGCAGATCTGGACCCAACAAGATCTGACAGAGACCACCTGGGTCTCCCAGACAACAGTCAGGCTCCTCGGCATGGGGCCTTACCCTGTACTGGGTTGTGGTCCTCTGGTCACCAATGTGTGGGGCAGACCCTCAAGAGGCCCAGTGGACTCATGCTGCCACTTAAAGCTTATACTGTAGGAAGACTTAATCAGGACCCTGTCACCACCTTTAAGGGCCACAGTCCTGAGGCTCTGTGTCCTGGGGGTCTTATTGGCCCCGTGGTCCATCATCAGGGCAGAACTCCTCAAGTTCCTCTCCTGGAAAATCAGCCATAGAAGTCTCTGTGAACCAAGTTGCATCCCATTGATGCCACACAAGCCCTCCTACCCAGAGGCCAGAAAGGTGTGGACAGCCTCTGTCAGTCTGAGTGGCCTCCACCTGCTCTCTGGGCTCTGCTCTAGCCTTCCTGCCACAGACCTGCAGAGCAGCCCAGGGAACCCTCTACCATAAGCTACCTTAGCCACACCATGGGGTCCTACTGCCTTGTGCATTAAGGCCAGTCTCTGCCCAAACCCACAAGCCCCACCAGCCCCGTCACATGTAGTCACACTGGCACCTGTGCCGTGTGCCCACTGTTCCTCCCCCGAATGAAGCAAGCCATGTCCCCAGGAACACTTTTCAGGTTGCCTGCTCACCATTTCTTTCAAATTCCCTGTCCTCTTCCCTTCTTGCTCCTGCTAGACCAAGAGCTCCTCAAGGAGGGCCTGCTCCCAGGTCCTATTCCAGTTACCAGGGCCTCAGACAGTGGTGCATCACCTTTACCCACATCAGATTCAACAGGGGGAGAATGGCCAACACCCTCTGTTCACAGCCTGGGTGCTGCCTGGTATGAGGCCTGCCTCCCAGGGGAAGTCACAAGGAACCATGACAGGAAGCTCAGCTGGCCAGAGATAAACAGGACCATGAGGAGCCTCCTTCAGGGCAGCTGTCCTGCCTGGAGAAGGGTCCTGCCCCACACAAAGCAGGCCAGAGGACTGCAGCCCAGTGACATAGAAAGGGACTCCCCACATCCAGGACAGGCCTACTGAGGAGCCAGGGCATGGGGCACACTGATCCTCCCCAGGGAGGAAGCAAACCTGACCTGCTACCAGCCTCAAGAACACGAAGAAAAGATGAAGGAGGTGTGTTGTTAAGCTTGCTGAGGTGCCAGAAAGGCTCCTGTCACCTGTCTACGCACATGTGCCATAGGCCCATTAGGTGACAGAGGACAAGCAGCATGCATGTGTCACACTGCCCAGCCTCATAGCAGTAAGCTTGTGAGGCAGGGACACAGGCAGACAGATGACTCTGGGCCACATGGTCAAAGGGAACTGGAGGCATGGCAGGAATGCAAGCAGGCCTCTCAAGTTCAGAGGCCCTGAGAAAGACTCAGGACACTGCTGGCCAGGTCAGTAAACCCATGGCTTCCAGTTCTCCTCCAAGGCCTATTGGTCCCAAAGGGCTCCAAGAAGAACCCACTCCTGCCCTGGTCACGGTTGAGCCAGAACTAATTGCAGGGCAGCTATGGCAGCAGAGTGTAGACACCAACTCCAGCCTGATTTCAGGAAGTCAACTGAGAAACCACTCCCCCAGGGTCTCCACCCCGCACCCCACCAGGTGTAATGGCCATATAGCCTGGCCCACAGGCCTAGCTATGGCAGAGATCAATACAGGCTGCTGTCAACAGTAGTGAAGAGTCTCTTCAATCTGCCCTGGCTCTCCTTGGCCTCCCTGAGCTTAGGGGAAAGGGTGTGAAGTTTGATCTTTCAGAATCACAGTTCCTTTATATATATATATATATATATATATATATATATATATATATATATATATGAACCCAGAACACATCTGTGCTGCAAAAGAAACATTTGAATGGATCACAGGGTTAACAGCAGCTACCTCTGGAATCTGGCCAGGCAGAGGGCAGAGAACTTCTGCCGCACAGCTAACCAGAGACCAACAGCCAGTCCCTCCACACACTTCACTTATCAAAGGAGAGGACAGGAAAGAATCTGTCTGTTCTAAGGACAGGCTGGGCGTCCTTTACCTGGCCAAACAGCCTTACTGAGCATGGCACCCCGCAAACATGGCCAGTGCTCTGGCCCAGGAACATCTTTTTCTTTGATTCCCCATCCTTGGAGTGGCCATGCCCACCTTGCCACAGGTACCTACCTGCCCATCAGAGTCATAGCCCCGGTTAGTGGTGCCTGCCAGGGCCACAGCCCGGGCATCAGCATCCCGGCGGGCTGCGCTCAAGACAAAATGCCATGCCCTGCTACTCCTCGGACGTCTGGCCATGCTAGAGAGGACCTGAAAGAAAAATGGTTCTGAGCCAAGGAGCCAAGCACACTAGAACAAGTCCCAGGACCCCCAAGCACATACTCCTCCACTGGAACTTCCCCACTGTCTGTCAGGCTGGGCCACAGACCCACCCAAAGGAGGGGCTCCAGGGCCTCAGATACAAAGCAGAACTCTCCACAAGCCTGTACCTGGGTCCAGAGTCTTAGCACCTTGATCAAACCAAGGCAGACGGTATGAAATGCCACCCAGACACCCATGATTCTGACGGCACCTCTCAGTCCACATAGGCACAGAGGCCCCAGGCCTCTCACAGCAGACTTGCTCCTCCTCCACACGGTCCAGCTAGACAAGTGGAGTCCCCGACCTCGGGTTCCTCATGCCAGAAACACAGCAGTCATCCACCCTGACACTCCCCCTTCCTGCCACACCTGGAGAGTCCTCGCTCACGGGGGACCACAGGCTCCGCACAGCTCCTCTGCTCAGCTCCTCCCGCTCCACACACTACAGTCATGGGCTTTCCGGTACCATTTTAAGTCTGCTCAGGGCTTGCCATTGTTCTGGGGGTGAAATGCAAGCCTCTACGAGGGCTAGTTCTACTGGCTGCCTCGCTCCAGTGGCCGGCTCTGCCCTGCTTTTGGTCGGATCCCCCATGTCCCCAGCTCCACTTTCAACCCTAGGCTGCCGCCTGGACTGCCCCACCTCGTCTGGCCCCTCGGTTTGCGCTGCTCAGGAGCGCAGAACACAGCCGCGCGGTGCACGCCGAATGAATGGTCCAGGTGCCCGGGACCAGGCGGAGGGCGCTGTCACGCCCACGGCCCGCGGCCTCCAAGCTGCAGCAGGCAGGGCCCACCCGCGGTCCCAGCCCAGCCTCCCGCGTGCCGCCCCGGGGGACAAATGGCGGCGGGCCCGACCGCCCGCAAGGTCAGCATGCTGCCGCCGGGGGCCGGGCAGGCCGGACGCCGCTCACCTGCAGCCGCCACAGCCGCGCTTAGCAGGCTGTGACCCACTTTCGTCTCCGACCGGGACGTAAACAATCCCCGCCCCCGCGCTGCATTGGCCCGGCGGCTAGGCGGCCGCTCCAGTCTGGCGCTTCGCGCGGGGGCGGGCCTCTCGGGACATGGCTATTGCCAACAGGTTGTAAGGCCCGTCAATCCCGTTCCGATCTTCCAATTGGTCACAGCTTGAGCTGTCATACCTGAGACCCTCATTCCCATTGGACGTGGACACGGAAGTAGGTCCAGATCCGTTACGTCATCTGAGCCGGAACCTAAGGGCAATGCTCCGAAACTCCTTGGACGACTTGATTGGCTGAAGGAAGCGAGACCAGGCCTATCAAAAGGAGCCGAGGGTGAGCTGTCGTCTCCCATTGGCTCAAAGGCTCCTTACTCTGGCTGTTGGCGAACGGGCCGCGGAAGGAAACGGAAGGAACCCGAGGTCTCAGTTGACGGTGCTATGGAGGCTACTGGTGAACTTGCGGGCGAGGACCCCAGTGCGGGCCTGGGTGAGCGTGCGGGGCGAGCTTGTACCACCAAGGAGTGCCCCGCCTGCCTCCCGCACAGGCGGTAGTCAGGGACCCTGGCGCACCGTGGCCGCCCTTGTCTACGCGGTTTCTGGCGGCACACCACAGCAGCGCGGGAAAGCGCGGCTTGGAGTCCTCTAGGCAACGCGGGTGCACGCCCGCCGGGTTGTGGCTGCTCTAGGTCCTCAGAGCCTCGGCCTTCCCTTGAGAACCGGAGGCCCGGGGCTTCCTCTCCTCACCGCGGAGAGGGGCTGTGGAGGGTGTGGAGACCGCACACGGCTGTGACCGGGGTTTCACCTGTGTCCTGCCGCATTATCAGGGTGCTACAACTTTAGCATTTTTATCGCCCATGCACGCATACACAAGCAGGGCTGCATATGCACGCATTATAAAGTGGAGCAGCGGAGGCTCCACTTAGCGCCGGAGTGGGGGAAGGTTAGGTCTAGAGTTGGGGGGGGGGGCGGGGCGGGCTGTCCTTGCTCATGTTTCCATGGAGAGGAGCAGTGGCCCCGGTCAGAATTCAGGAAGAGGGAGTAATTTGGTGACCTTCTCTGAAGGCGCACTGAGGGCTTATTGTTCCTGGGAGTCTCGGACCTCCTGACTTCTGTTTCTCACCAGAGCCTGGGAACCTGTCTGGCGTGCGGCACATCATCCTTGTTCTCTCTGGGAAGGGGGGCGTTGGGAAGAGCACCATCTCCACAGAGCTGGCCCTGGCACTGCGCCACGAGGGCAAGAAGGTGAGGCCCCTGCCCAGGGCCAATCCAGTCGCTTCACCAGCAGCCACAGCTTACTAATACCTGCCCTGAGCTGCACAGCTTTCCCTGCTGCATGAGGGTGGACACACGTCCCCGCAGCCCCCAAGCAGGACTGGTAGGTCTGTCTGCTGTTTTGTGCCTTGCCCTCACCATCAGCCTCCTTGCAGGTAGGGATCCTGGATGTGGACCTTTGTGGCCCCAGCATTCCACGCATGCTCCAGGCACAGGGCAGGGCCGTGCACCAGTGTGACAGTGGCTGGGTGCCTGTCTTTGTGGATCAGGAGCAGAGCATCTCCCTCATGTCTGTGGGCTTCCTGCTGGAGAGGCCAGACGAAGCCGTGGTGTGGAGAGGTCCCAAGAAGAGTGGTAATGACCCAGCAGGGCCATGGCTGGCAGCCTTCTGTTCTCTCCCAGCTGACCCCTTAGTGCTGAGAGTTGAAAAGCAGCAGGGCTGACGTCCTTGCTCTTGCTTAGCCACTGTTTTTGAATGAAACCAAAATCCAGCTTTGGCCTCCATCTTGGAGACTCAGCTTCTCCCAGAGATACTCCTGCTGCACATGGCCAAGCAGGCAGGCACGCTCCAGGGGGCACGAGATGAGACCCAAGGTCAAGGGCATGGCTCTGCTCCAGGGGGCAGGAGATGAGACCCAAGGTCAAGGGCATGGCTCTGGTGGGTGGCATCTCCATCTCCCAGTTGGGAGGTAAGAGGTCTGCTCAGACTGTATTCACACTGCAGGTGCCTGAGGCCACCCAGTGTGGAGATGGCATTGGGACTGGGCCCTGCTTCCTCTAGACTGATTGCAGGGGAGGCCTCCAGGAATTAGCTACAAGCACAGAGCAGGGGCTGCTCCTGTTGGCCATCTCGTCAGGCTTCAGAGCCTGGGTGCAGATACCCTCAGCTTGCCCTGAGCTCAGGCCTTCGTGGGGTCAGCTGCCAGCCCCGTGGGGTTGGAGTTTGGGATGAGATTGGGTGTGGAGGGTAGCACAAGAGCTTGGGAGAAAGGAGTGCTTGTGGGTGCAGGGGCAGCCTCCACCTTCCTGTTACCCTGCGAGTTCCCCACTTGTGATTGGAGCTCTGCCTCAAGCTGCAGTGGCCCCAGGGCATCCAAAGCCTGTCTGATGGAGGCTGATGAAGCCCTGGGCTAGGCAGTGAAGTCTCATCCGTCTGGGCTCACTCTTTCCTTGGGTCCCTGGTCCTCATGGCACAGGCTTGCTTACCCCACCCCGGGTCTCTGCAGCACTGATAAAGCAGTTTGTGTCTGATGTGGCCTGGGGAGAGCTGGACTACCTAGTTGTGGACACACCCCCCGGCACCTCTGATGAGCACATGGCCGCCGTGGAAGCCCTGCGCCCTTACAGGCCCCTGGGGGCCCTCGTGGTCACCACACCGCAGGTACCACCACGGCCCTATCCTATGCCCTCCCCACTAGGCTGGGTATTTTTTCTGCTGACAACACCCTTATGAGACTGAATTAGTGGCAGACTGGCCTAGTGGTCTCTCCTGATTTCCAGGCAGTGTCTGTTGGGGATGTGAGGCGGGAGCTGACCTTCTGCAGGAAGACAGGGCTGCAGGTTATGGGGGTCGTGGAGAACATGAGTGGCTTCGCCTGCCCACACTGTGCCGTGAGTCCTGGGACATGTTAGGGCTCTTACAGGGGGGTGGGCACCAGGGCACGTGCAGGTCAAGTGGGGCTTTGAGGAAGTGGAGGATGCTGTCACCACTCAGGCCTACTCCGAAACCCTGCTCTAGGTCTCCCTGGCCTTCAGCATGGTGAGCGAGTGACAGTGGGCCCCATGTGGCTCTTGTCTCCTAGGAGTGCACCAACATTTTCTCCAGAGGTGGCGGGGAGGAGCTGGCTCGGCTTGCCGGAGTTCCCTTCTTAGGTGAGTATTGAAGTCAGGCACCGGAGACCCGACTCCCCCTTCCTGTGGGTGCGTCTGTCTGTGCTTGAGTGCCAGGGAGGGAGAGCAACAGGCATCATGACCTCGTCTTCCAGAGTAAAGCGCTGGTGCTCTTGATTGTCTCCAGCAAGACAGGACAGCTGCCCTCCACCTGGCTCCTGCTGGGGACACTGACGTCCCCACTGCTTGTCCCATGTTCGTTGGGCAATCATGAGAGGCAGGACATCCTGCTGGGAGGGCAACAGCATGGCCCACATGTGGGCACAATGCCTGACGGCACCTCTCCATCCTATAGGCTCTGTGCCCCTGGATCCTGAGCTCAGCAGGAGCCTGGAAGAAGGCCGCGACTTCATCCAGGAGTTCCCCAAGAGCCCCGCGTTTCCTGCACTCGCCTCCATAGCCCGGGAAGTTCTAAATGCCACACCTGCTCTGCTCTCCTGACAGGCAGCCCCATGACCGCCTGATGCTGCCAAGGGCTGTCCTCATAGCAGAGATCTGGGTGTGGGTGTGGTTCCTGTGACCTGTGCTCTGTGGACACCTGCCTGGCCCTGCCCTTGGAGATGTCTCTGTGGCATTCCAAGTGGGGCTTATGGCTGGGGTTCCACCTAATGGCCTGTGGCTGACACTGGCACAGGTCCTGGCGTTGTGGGACAGTGGTCCCAGCTCTGGTCACCTGCCCCCTGGAGGGATACACGCAGCCAAGATCCACCCTGTTCCCAGGCTTGCCCAGGACTTCACCTTCCTCAGGCAGCTGTGAATGGGGAGCCTTTGTAAGGTGGTGTACTGGCCTCAGGCGTGTACAGTGACTTTAGAAGAACCTACTATTAAATGGCCTGGTCAGCAGACGCCTTGGATGTTTCTGTCCTTAGTGGTGACAGCTTTTGCTCTCTCAAGCCTAGGGCTGGACCAGCCACAGTTCCCTTGTTCCAGGCCCCTGGAGACTTGGGTGAGACATGTCTGCGTGTTGTTTTGGGAGAGTTTGGCAAGATTTTGTGCTGTCGGAAATCTGAGGGGACATGTAGCCCTGATAGAGCGGCACACCCCAGGCCAAGGCAGAGCCGAGGCCAGAGAACTTGGGGTCAGTTGGAGCTGAAGGGGCCTTTTCTCTCTCTGGTGAGACCAGGAGAACCCTGTGTGGGAAGCAGAGTGGCAGCATGAGCGTGTTCCTTCCAGGGAAACTCACTGCTCCCAGAGGGGAGACTGGCAGAGCTGGGGAGCACCAGGTGTGCCCCCATCTCCTCACTGGCTCTCTGTCAGTATGCGCTGCAGGGCCCCAACCACTACCACAGCTGTGTCTGGCTGCCAGGGACCAGGACACCTGAGAATACACTCCTTGGTCACAACACGATGCCCAAGATGGAGGGACATTTTGCTGAGGTTTC